TCCTAAAACGGAATGTCGAGGCATACAGTTTGAGCAGCGTCGCCAAAGTCTCTCAACAACTTCCGTTTCATAGACATTGAGCAAGAGACAGGACTTGCAAACGTGGGAGACTAAGGAGTTGGCAGTCGTAGGTGTCAGAAGTGGTTGCTCGAGGGGGAGATAGGAGAAGTAACGGAAGAGGCGAGTGTGGGAAACGGCTACCTGGACAGGCTTGATCTTATATTGCCGAAGCTGCTTATCTAATTCCGACCTGTCATGCCCGCATCAATTCCATCTCTTGACGTATCAATATTAAGCATGTCAATGTCAAGACATGCTTCAACTTGTTCAATTTAGCTGCAATTTCCGTCAAGTTTTATTATTATTGTTTCTTTAAAAAATTATTACTACTGGACCCATTGCAGACCAGATTGCGAGGTAGGTGATTTCCAATACAGGTATGACATCGAAGTCACGTGAGGGCAGACGCAATAGCTGCCAGCGGCACACCAGAATCAAGCACGTGTCATTCATCGCAACGCGCCTTTCTACCGTGACGTCTTGAGTCTAGGACTGTGTCCAGACTGCACCATGCAGGTTTCTCCCGCAGATTTGCCGTTGCCCGCAGCACTGGATCCAATCCTCGACTATCTCTCGGACCATTTACGGGGCCAATATATTCGTTCCTCCTCTCATCACTGTCGCATCTCCTTGCGGTGTGCACGGCCCTTTACTCTGTCGTACTTCATTACTGTCGACACACCCCGTCCAATGGGATGCACAGACTGTGCTGCCACCACTTATCGCCTTATTCACATCTTATTTGGCCATCCTCAGCCTCTACCGCACCACAACATGGATGCTCCGCACTAGTATCTTCTTTGTCAAGTGGGGGACGATCTTCGGGGCTTTGATTGCAGGGACGAGTTGGATTGATGCAAGGTGGTGGGAATGCCGTCGGCGGAAACGGGTTGGCAGCGACGCTTAGTGGGCTTCTACTTGACTCTTTCTCCGGCGACACAACCACGAAGCGGAAACGCTCCAGATCGCAAACAAGGAAGGCAAGGCCGAAAGCTCAACGCCCGCAGCCATGGGAATCATGGGATACCCATCGGGACTGGCGGGAACAAAACGCGGACAATGACGACGCAGGCGATGTCCTTGCAAGTGTGCTAGATGCTGCTGGATCCGCCGTGAAAGGAAAGTGGTGGGAATTAGCGAAGGGCTTTCTCAAGGCTGATGACTCCAATGAGGAGAGCATCAAGCAGTCTAAGGAAGGTCTGGTAAGACCAAGACACGCTCAGCCTAGGTGTGGAATGTGGGCACATGTATTTGTATCGAGTAAATGTAAGATAATATGCAAGCTGGTCATTCTTACTGGATCGCGGCTGGCTTCGATCCATACCGGTAGCTGGGGAGAGATTAAACAAGATGGGTCAAGTCAGGTGCACAGTGCTCACTTGGCTATCCGTGCAACCTGAGTTAGTCCAGAGAGGCCCACAAAGAAATTGACCTTGAACAGCTGGGTCACAAGCACAAGTCATGTCGGGCTTTCACGTACCGCTGCCAGGCTGTAGTTGACTGGGGTGATAACAAAAGAATACCGGAACCCATATAACGCCCGTGGCCGTCAACGCTAACAATATCCTTCAATGACAGAAACCTCGTGTATCGATAGAACACACCGAGATTCTGAGAAAGACTGAGTTTCTCGGCGGGTCGGCCCATATCCTTCAGTCCTGCGCCAACCAGACACCATTTCATCATGGGAGCCCAGAAGAAAACGGTCTTCGGCCCTATGACACGAATGCGGAGAACCGTAAGCACAAGATGACTTGAGCCTACCCGCAGGGTGATTCATAAAGCTGGCGAATTTCGATGCAAAGCCGGACGATGCTGCTCCCGACATTATGGCTTGGACGTTGAGAAAAGAGGGTGTGGTGACTAATATTGATGACAGTGCCGCTTCTAGCGGCTTGCTTTGACCATGATCATGCTTTGGAGTCAAACTGTAGACTGGGCGCCTCTGGCGTTCGCTGAAGTGTACAGGAGTTCTTCATCCTCTTCAAGTATACCGCTTGGATTAGAATCACGTCCGTTCGATATGTCCAGACTCCACCTTACGCACCCAGTTTGGCTGAAAGCTTACCCCGGGGTCACAATCGATGCCTGGCCAAGCAGGAGCCAAGCTCTCGCTTTGGCTCCTCGGAGTGTATGTAGCCCATCGATCTCATATGAACCCCACTTCATCCCCACAACCCCGGAACATGAGTGACGCAACGACTCTCAATCGATCCTATAAAGCAATGCATCCCTTCCCTTGCCCTTCTTCAGAACGGCAACTTCGCAGCCAGCTATCAACTTAAACGTTCACCATGCAGTACTGGGAACCAGGAGTTTATTACGAGTCCGGATCCGTCGTCGAGTACGAAGGCCACCGCTACAGGATCATCCAACCGCACACCAGTCAGTCGGACTGGACCCCGCCGGTCACCCAGGCCCTCTGGGGCCGCTTGCAGGACGGAGACCATGGCGGCGAACACCACCAGCACGAGGAGCACCGTCACCGTGAAGAGGAGCACCGTCATCATGAAGAGGAACATCGCCAGCAGCATTACGGCGGCGAATATCGGCACGACGAGAAGCAGTCGTCGTTTCAGGCACCTCCGGACGGCCAGGAAGTCCAAATCCACCACGAGGAGCGCGAGAAGCACTGGTACGATCTGGACGACAAACGTAAGCAGGAGCTCGAGGTGAGAATTCCAGAACTTCTACGGAGCGCGTTCCAACAGGGTTCATCTAGGTCGGTGGAGGGCTTCTTGCCGGCGCTGCTCTACTGGCCGGTGGCTATGCGGCTTGGAAAGGCCATGAGAAGTCGCAGGAAGAGGTTCGTTTATCCGCTGGAAAGTGCCATGAAGCGCTGACCATTGGCAGGAAAATGCGCATAAGTGGTCCCTGCAAAACTGGGTGCATGATGCGGAAGTTCGTGCTGAGAAGTTCCGTAACTATGGGCCGCAATCGCCAGCGACGTGGGTTCTGAATCGGGGCAAGAATATTCCCCAAGGCGCAATCGCTGTAGGGCAAGAGCACTCATGGACTTTGTACATCTGTCGGGCGTACCACGAGGTCAGTTCCACCACTCGCACTGTTGCTTCCATTGATCTTCTCTTAGGGCGGAATCCGTGGGTCCACGCTCTCATCCGGGAATAATCGTTGACTGCTTTGCAGTTATAGGCAAAGCCTCGGACGCGTTCAAGAAAGGCGCTGTGATCGGCTATCGCCACGAGGAAGTCCATGTAAGCCATTCTCTGAGAACGCGGGGGCATTTTCTGAATGTTCCAGCTCGATATATACGAGATTCTTCTGGGTGATATGAATGGCCTGCGTTGGGTGCCGGCTCAGGGCCGCCTGAACGTCGCCAGTCTCGGCTTCCGGCCGGTCGAGGGAGGTAAGGAGGCCAGCGGGACTCCACTATATATTGCGGAGGCCCCGTACAACGGGGCCGTCCATCCAGGAAAGGCTAGCGAAGATCTGGACGGCGCATACATTCCTTATGATGGGACCGAGAAATGCGTCAAGGTAAATTGATCAGATTTTTGTCTTGCCCCACCGCTCTGAAGCAGCTGTCTCCTAGGAATACCGCGTGCTCTGCTACTCTACTTGAATTGTCTTTGTACCTTGTTACCACTGAAATCCAATATCACTGCGGCGATGACTGGTTAAATTGATAGCTTGTCCGGCGGTTGGAGTGTGAAAGTTGAGTTTGAGCTTGCTTTTCCCGCGCCTTCAATTTGCTCGTTTCGGGAACACCCGTCGATTAATCCGCATCACGATCTCCATCACACATCAATCTCCTCTCGGCGCTTCATACTCCTTAAGATAAGAATTGTCCCTAACAGTGCTCCAACCTCCCTTCCTCCTTCGCCTCTTCTCGGCTCTCGAGCCACACTCACCATGGTCCATGTTCTCGACCTCCTCAACGCTCACGTCGCAGGTCGGCCTTTTCGTCCGTGTTAAACACCGCAGCTGATTGCCGCAGACTCGGTCGTCGGCCGCTGGTTTCGTCTCGAAGGAAGCGGACACCCCAAGGAGCGTATAGGCTCTCGGTGAGTTTCTTGTGGGCCCTCTTCCCTTCGTCCCCCCTGATTCTCTCCTCTAGCTTTACGACTGAGATTAGAGCTGGTTTGACGACATGGGTGCGTTCCTTACATTTACGCGTTTTACAGAGTCCGCTCAACTCTTGGCGCATTATAGGCTGCCATGGCATACATCGTTCGTTCATCCAACCGTCCGTACTGGTACCGGACTTATGGCGACTAGATTTCCGTGAACGCAGCTATTCTGGCCGATTCTGGAGCTACCTGCGTCTGTCCGACCCCCGACCACTGTCCGAATGGCTCCAATCCCGAGTACGACGTCTGCCTAGGGGAAGTTCGGAACGACCTCATTATTTCGACGGCCGCTGTCGCTGCACTCGCCTCGTTCCTGATGGGTTTTTTGGCCAACCTTCCCGTCGGCATGGCTCCCGGTCTCGGCTTGAACGCCTACGTACGTCCTTTCGCGCCTCTGCCCAGATGCCCTGATCCCAGGCCCATACTAGTTTGCTTACTCCATCGTCGGCTACCATGGACAGCACAAAACCACCTACCAAGAGGCCTTGGCTGCGGTGTTCCTTGAAGGGTTCGCCCGCTCCCCCCCTATTGCCCCTGGACTCCTCAACTCACCATCTTTTTTCAGGTGGATTTTCTTGTTCCTGAGCATCATAGGGCTTCGTCAATGGATTGTTCGCATCATGCCCCAGAGTCTCGTTCTAGCTGTAGGGGCGGGAATCGGCTTGTTCATAGCGTTGAGTGCTCTGCTCCGGTAATCGGCTCGTTTCATCTGACACGTTTTCCAGATTCATAGGATTGTGTACGCTACTTCCTTCGGGTCCTTCTCTTCTGATTAGTGACGTTTCAACCTAGCCAATGGCGGCCTCAAGGTTATTGGAGGTGATATCACCAACTACGTCGGCCTGGGCGGTTGCAAACCAGAAGACATGCTTCCCGCTCTGCCGGGCTTTTGCGCAGGCGGCCAGCTCCGGAGCCCCACGATGTGGCTGGGCATCTTCCTGGGAGGGTGTGTTCTTTTTTTTTCGTTGCTCGACTCTTTGCTCAAGAACGTGGAAGCATCCTCACTGTTCTTCTCATGCTTTATCGGGTCCGGGGAGCAATTCTAATCGGCATCTTCCTAACTTCCATCGTCTCCTGGCCTCGATCTACTGCCGTCACCTACTTTCCTCACACGCCGGCAGGCGACGCTGCGTTCGACTACTTCAAGCAAGTCGTTCATTTCCGTCCCCTGCAGAAAATCGGGAATGTGATCGATGTGAGTGTCGTGCGTTGCTGGAAGCAGATTAGTCCACTGACCGCCTGCTCGTAGTATCATTACGGGTAAACCTGGTCCTCGGTTGCATTCAGAATCTCCGCTCACCTCCCATCAGGCAAGGCCGAGTCTGGTATGCGCTGATCACGGTCTGTGTCAGCCTGTCTCCCGAACGATGGCGTAACTGACGCAGCTGATAGATGCTTTACGTGGATATTCTGGACACCACCGGCACCCTGTATTCGATGGCCAAATTCGCAGGTCTGCGGGATCCCGTGACTATGGACTTTGAGAATTCGACGATTGCCTACTGTGTGGATGCGTTTGCGATCAGCATGGGCGCGCTCATGGGAAGCAGCCCTGTGACAGCCTTCATTGAAAGCGCCACCGGAATCAGCGGTATGTTATGTCGAGACCTTCCATGATGTCTTGGACTGAATTCGATGTCTAGAGGGCGGCAAGACCGGGATAACGGCTATGGTGACAGGCCTCTGCTTCTTTGTTTCGGTCTTCTTTGCTCCCATTTTCGCATCCATCCCTTCTTGGGCCACCGGAGGAGCCTTGATCATTGTGGGAAGCCGTAAGTGCTCAGAGTTTGTTCCAGTGCTATTTTCATCACTGACGGATCTCGCAGTTATGATTCGCAAGTAAGATGACAGCGGCCGCTGTTGCGCATTTGCTCATTTCTTGCTAGCGTCCGCGACGTGAACTGGGACTACATCGGTGATGCCGTGCCGGCCTTCCTCACTATCATTATCATTCCGCTCTCTTACAAGTAAGTGATGACCCCATTCTTCGCATGCTGTCCGCTCATCCTCGGCTAGTATTGCTTACGGTGTCATCGCCGGAATTCTCTCTTATATCCTATTGAACGGCATTCCCTGGATCATCGCGCGTCTCAGCGGGAACAGAATCCTGCCGCCTAACATCGACATGTCGGAGGAATGGAGCATTCCGCCGGGCAGCATCATTCCTTTCTGGATGTATGTCCTTGTTTATGTGTTTTTTCTTGGTTTGGGCCCCCCGCTGACGATGGCTTCAGGCGCAAGCTGGTCGGGATGGTCGATGAGCAGCCGGAGGACAGCACCGGTGTGCAGCTGGAGGTCCGGGGCCAATCTGCTTCGAACGACACTGATGCACGGTCGGAAAAGACCGACGAGGCGAGCATTATGGAACCCAGAAAACACCGACTCAGGTGATCTCACCTGTCTCTCTTCAAGGGTCGGGTCGCTTGAACGCTTGCTTGCGTGCTTCATCATCTTGTTAGATAATTGTCCACCCTTTTTGAATTGTTGTGCACTTGGATTTGGGTCCAGGGTGGATGTATCATTAACTGTATCTACTCGCAGTAACATAGACTTCCGTCGCTCTTGTCCGCTGCTATATGTACGATGTCGGCTAATTCAATGAACTCTTCGGCTACAGTAAAATATATAAATTATTATATAAATACCCTACTTATGTATTTCTGCGGTGCCTGGATGGCTGTGCCTCTCTGACAAATCCCATATGTGCAGACTGTAACTTATAAGCAACCATATGACCACAACGACAATTGGCGCACGCTCATTTCGCATGCATACCAGGGATGAGATCTTCATCACAGTCCAATAGCATGGCATTCCCGAAACCCCTTCCACTCGGCTCCTCGCCATGGTAGAGATTAGATATTAACCAATCAAGTGAGGAGATTAGATCAGATCGTCTCGCGATTGCTCAAGCCAGCCCTCAGATCGACACAGAAGATTACTAGATTCTAAGACTCATACAAGATATTGCGTACAATTACATTGTTGGAAGATATTAGCGTATTGATTATCGTTCATCAGCTGTAGCGCGGATAATCGATACTCTTGGAGCGTTTGCTCTTCTTGTGGTGACGGTGCTTCCGGTGTCCTGAGCCAATGATGATGGCTTGAGGCTGAAGCTGGCCCCCGTAGCCTGGCTGCATGTATTGGACCTGCGGGGCAGCCGTCTGAGGATAGGCCACTTGGTACCCGGACGTCGAATAGCTGCGGGGCCGGTGATGATGCGAACTCGAACCCGTCTGGATGACCACCGGGGCTCCGCCATAGGGTTGGCTCATAGGCTGGGTGTAGGACATCCCGCCGTAAGACCCGGCCTGCATCTGGCCGCCGTAGGGCTGCTGGCTTGACGCATATGGGACACCGTACGACGAGTTTTGTCCATGGATTTGCATGGGCATCGTCGCGGTCGTTGAGTATGGCGAGCTATTTCCATATGCGCCATACGCTGCAGAGCCAGCTTGTGGCGGAATCGAGATGGGGGCAGAGCCTGTCATGGAGGCAGCCGTCAAATGGCCGCCCAACATCGGAGCACCGCCCATCGAGCCGGTCACGGAACCAGCTTGTGACATTACCGGCGAGTGCGATCGAGAGATCGACCGGTGGTGAGAGTGAGACCTGTGTCGAGGGTACCGATAATCGTTCCCATACGAATCTTCGTCCGGGTCATATGAGCCCGAGAAGGACCCACTACGGTGCCGAGAACGAGAGCGGTGATAGTCCCCCTCTTCTCTCTCACGAGACTAACAGCTCTAGTCAGCTGCAGCTCTTCGCGTCCACATGAGATGGACCACGTACGTGATAGAACAGGATAGATGCAGTGGCTGCGGCCGCATCAGACGCATCCCGGCGAGCATATGCGTCCCAGGCACGGTTAGAAAATTGCAGAAGGCGTGACGCTAGAGTTGTACGACGATGAGACTCGGCAGATTGTGACAGATGCAGACACACCCTCTGCAACCGCTAGCCCAACTAAACCTTCTCTCTGTCTCTCGATCTCACTGCTGAGAGGTTCATACAGCGAACTGTTATGGGTCCATGTCCGATAGGCTTCGTACGCAGCCGCGTGACCGATATCAGACGGGAGCATCTGGTCCAACTCACCCTGCACAGCAGTTAGTCCCCAGATCATGATCACCCGACAGGAAGACTCACCAGCCCCCCGTAAGCACGGCGATGCCAGTGCCGGGCTTCATGCTTGCCCACTCCGAGCTCGAGAGCAGAGCCAGCATGCGATCGGACGCGGCCCCAGGCGTGATCATACATAGATCTGTGGCCCAGTCGTCACTCCAAGGGCACAGACCGTGCGAAACATGAGCACGCACGTTTCGGGGTTCACCGCATGCGCCTTGTAGTAGTCCATCCCACCCCCTTCGGAGATCCGTTGGTTCAGGGAAGACAAGGGAGTGCAAGCGGAACTCACAGTTCGGCTGAGGCTGAAAGGCGGGGGCAGGCGGCCTGCCAAACTGGAGCTTTGAAGGCGTGAGAATGAGTGAACAGGCAAAGCGGTTCGCAATACCTGACTTGTGCCCCAATCCGGCGTATTTTGCCGATAGTAATTGTATGCCATGCAGATGAGGGGGATCGGGAGGGAGGCTTTTGCGCGCGCGACGGTGTGAGGGAAGAGTGAAGTACAGATCGGCGTCAACAGCTCCCATTTTTACTCCCGTGGGCGATGTGAGGTGACGTCACGGTCGGAACATAACATTGACGCTGGCGGAGCTCAAAGCGTTTTACTGCGCACGGAGCCGTGGTTAGGGTGAGGGCCGGGAGTAATTTGAGCAGGAGATGTTACTAATACGGCTGGGCTCTCCACAACTTGGCTCAGTAAGTCAGAGCCCAGGGACTCGTCATCAGCTAAGTTTTGATTGGATCTTGAGTTTGAGCGGAAATGGGTGAGATTAGCAGAAAACCGCGACTGGCGCGTCCCGAGTTAGACATTGCGGCTTGCAAAGTAATAGTACGACGGCAGTCTTGGTTCTGAGCAAGGGAAGCTTTATTGACCTCTATTTGCCGTCAAACGCGCCCGTCGCCATCATTAGTGGGTGCACGTGCCCGCGGCCAGTTGGCGATGAACGGTACGGATGGCGCTCTCCTGCGTTCGTCTCACTTATGATTACAAGAGTACTCTGTCTTTGCCAGCGCAGAATTCGACCCCAATGAATACGCGAATGCCATCCTAGCGGGCGAACCCTATCCGCTCACAAACGAGTCAAACCCCAAAACACCAGGAACCAAGTCGACTTTCGAGCCCGCCAAGGAGGACATATCTGCCGCAATCTCCAGGCTGACTGTCGGGGTGGATGATGTCTCGAAGCAGATCAAATCCGTGGTGGGTCAAATTGGATCTGTGTCGTTGAGACGCGACCATGAACGGCCAAATAGGTTAATAGTCATCATGAGCAATTGCTTCAGCAAGCGGCAAGCGCGAATTCGTTGTCCGGATCTCTTACGTCCGTGCGCTCAGGGCTCTCAGATATGGACTCGTCACTCGAAAAGTATGTCCCCTCCCGACTGGCCCAGCGTTAGTCTAACTCGGTTCGGGAAGGCTGCGTCTCAAAATCCGCGTTCCATATCAGTCGCTCCAGAGCAACGTTTCCCGACTCCAGAAACTCCAACAAGTGTCCGATGTTCTGCGCCGGATTTCTCGCTTTGTCGTACTCGCGCGACGGCTCCAAACTCAGATGGCGGAGATGGAAACGAACAGATCCGAAAACACCGTGGCGACAACAGCTGAGTCGCCACTCAACCTGGTCACTCAGGACTCGGAGGATGAGAAGGAGCGGACCATTGCGAAGGCGGCCCTTAGTATTGCTGAATTAGGTATGGCGACAGATTGGATGCGTACCACGCGTTCCGAAGTTGATTTCATCCAGTGGCGCTTCTAGACAGTCCTGCTCAGCCCACACGCGACGAAGATAGACCCTTCAAAGATCGCCCTATCTCACCCGCTTTGGAGGATGTAGTAGCGCTTCGTTCTATCGACGCTGTCGCTGCGCATGTGCCGTTCATTGAACACGCTCGGACGAAAGTCACTAGCGAGATGGAGACCATGGTTCTCACCGGCCTTGCATCCCTGGTGCGTGAAATGGCTAGTGACCCATCAAATGCTCATTCGATGATCAGAATCAATCTTTCCTCGCGTCTTCGCTGCAGACGGCGTTCAATCTGAGAGTTCTTCCCGAGCTAGTGCAGAGCCTGATCATGGATCTCTCGCAGGCTGTAGAGGAGCGGATCCGGAGCGCCTTTGATCTCTCGAAGATATCACGCGATGCGGCGTCGAAAGACGGTGTTCCACCGTCTCCACAATCACCGGCGTCTTACAAGTCTCGCGTCCGGACAGAACCCACGAACTACACGGCTCCGCAATGGGCTGCTGCTCTCTGGGCTAGATTGGAGACGATGGTTGATGAGATGGCTGATTGTTGTGTCAAGGTGAGTATCAGTTGAGATGGCGAGAAAATCGCATGCGAACACAAGTTCACAGGTCTACACGTTAGAGAAGGTGCTCAAAGTAAAGCGAGACACTGTGTCTCAGGTTGTCTTCATTGATGAAGCGATGAAGGTAAGGTTTGCCTGTACCTGTCAGGGCTGCCTGGATGTCAACGTGTTTTGCAGCTGCTGGAGAGCAGACCGAGCTCCACCTTTTGGACATCCCTCGGAAAATCCCTTGAGAAGAATGCTCGAGACGCGGCCAAAGGTAGTTGGTTGATCCTAGCCAGTGGGGCTTTGCGCTGACCTATCAGGCTCCACTTTTCTGCAGCAGACTCTAAGCACAGGATACCCGCGCTTGCTCCGGCTTTTCCACAGGTTCTTCTCCAAAATTGCTGTACACACAGACACGATCTATATCCAGAACTACCAAAGGTCAGCACCTGCGTCCTCCTGGTAGGTCGAATGACAAGCCTTTGCAAGTCCAGAGACCGTATTGGTTCTGCGGGCACTTGGCAGCTTCGAGAGCTCCTATGTTTCCCGGTCTTCAAACAAGCTCAATGAAGCGGTCGCACAAGCCTTCGCAAGCGGTGCTCGCAACCTACCCGGCGCGACCGAGGGCATATCCATCTCCAGAACCGTCGCTAATGAGCTCGATTCGGCCAAATTTGATCCGCTTCTTGTTCGGACTGTGGCAAAGAACGTGAATGGCAGCTTGGAGATGCTTCTGTCTCGAGCAGATAGTTTTGTCAGTGTCAGCGAGTGTGGCTGTTGCGATCACTCACGTCCTACAGGTCAGCCGGGACCGCACTGCCGTTACACTGGTGGGCCCGAGCGCCACACCTCAACAGCTGTCTAATGGGCTGCTTGCTTCCTGCTTGTATCAATGCTGGGCTCGTCTCGACAAACTGGATCAAGAACAGTCGGACACGACTTTGGCTATCATTAAGCCTAGCGTGCAGGTCTGTCGACCTATCATAGGATGCACTCTTGTGTTGATGGTCCCTCGTCCAGAACCTGCGTAAGGCTTACGAGCGCATCGTCAACCCTCTCAATCTGGCTATACGGCGAGATCTCGGGGCTGTCATCACGAAGCTGCATAAACTCGATCTGGGCAAAACCGCCGATCCTATGGCCGGAATGAACGGCGCTAGCTCTTACATGAAAGAACTCACTGAGAAGCTCGGCTTCATCAAGAACGAAATCCTCTCTAAATTCAGCTTGGGAGAAGCTGCAAGGGACTGGTCAGCCGAGACATGGCCATCCGTCGCTCAATCTGACATCAGACAGGGTTATCTCCATCGTGAAATTTGTAATCCGGACATTTGTGGTTCATATTTCCATCGCAAAACCGCTCAGCGAAGGAGGCAAGCTTCAACTGACCAGCGATATGACTGAACTGGAATTCGCATTGGGTACTTTCTCGAGTGAGCCTGGCCAGCGCGGAGGCAGTCTGGAAAATGTCGGCGACGAATACCGCATGCTTCGTGGAATGCGGTGAGTTTTCTCCACTGGATCACGTTGCAAATGGCTGACTGAACTGATGCCAGGCCGCTCTTGTTTTTGGACAATGCCCAACTTGCTTCGTCGAAACAGACTGTAGGCCTGCCGCCGCTCATCGTACTTCACCATATCCTCGTCCGATCGCCCTTGTCCTTGCCACATAGTCTGCATGGCTGGCAGGAAGCAGAGTACGTGCGATGGGTCGAGGAACATTCCGAAGAAGAGGCTCTGACGTTGATTGACGGGGGATTGTCCCACTGGGAAAAAGTTCAGGAGGGAGATGAAGAGCAAGGATTAGAATATCTCAAGTTGGCTAGATCCGTGTTAGCCAATGCAGCTGCCCAGGCTTGAAGATGTCGATGATCGCTCAACATTTGAGAGTCGCAGAGTGATGGCAACGGAGATAAGCGAGAGAGTTACGATATCGATAATCAAGCCAGCTCCGAGTCAGAAGTTTGTTTTGTATGCGCCTTCTTCACTTGTCTCGAACCAGATTCCACACGATGGCGACCCAGCATTGGAGCGCACGCAAGGTCCGCGAGGAGTTCTTCAACTACTTCAAATCGAAACAGCACACATTCGTTCCGTCGTCCTCCACGATTCCCTATGAAGACCCGACGCTGCTCTTTGCCAACGCAGGAATGAACCAGGTCCTCCAACCTCTGGTCTATGTCCCCCGTCCCCACCATAGCTCATTCTCCCTAGTACAAATCGATCTTTTTGGGCACCGTCGACCCGAATTCGGATATGTCAAAGCTGAAGCGGGCATTCAATTCACAAAAATGCATTCGCGCGGGTGGAAAACACAACGGTGCGTTATGCTTGCTGATCCTTCTCTCTCCCATCCTCAAGCCTCGAAGATCTCGACGATGTCGGAAAGGACTCGTACCACCACACCTTCTTCGAGATGTTGGGTAACTGGTCGTTCGGGGATTACTTCAAGGTATGTCCGCGCTGTGTTCGCGTTTACGCGCATCGAAACCCATCTATTCATTTCTCTAGGAAGAAGCTATTTCATATTCATGGGAACTCTTGACCGAGGTATACAAGCTGCCCAAGGACAGGCTATACGTCACGTATTTCGAAGGCGACAGTAAGAACGGCCTCGAGCCGGATCTAGAGGCCAAAGAGTACTGGCTCTCGCAGGGTGTCGCGGAGGATCACATTCTGCCCGGGAACGCAAAAGACAACTTCTGGGGTGCGTTCGCACTCTCCTCTCCTCAAACCGAGTGAATTTTGATGACCCCCGTGCAGAGATGGGTGCGACGGGCCCATGCGGGCCTTGCAGGTTAGCCGACACTCGCACTGATCGTTGTTAACTCAACCCTTATCATCCCAGTGAGATACACTACGATCGGATCGGCGGCAGGAACGCAGCCCACCTCGTGAACCAAGACGACCCCGATGTCCTCGAGATCTGGAACAACGTGTTCATCCAGTTCAACCGCGAGGATGACGGATCCCTCAAACTGCTTCCGTCGAAACACGTCGATACCGGAATGGGCTTCGAGCGTCTCGTGTCGGTCGTGCAGGACAAGCGGTCCAACTACGACACCGATGTCTTCACCCCCATCTTCGATAAAATTCAGGAAATGACGGGCGTCAGGCCATACAAAGGATTATTCGGCGCTGAGGATGTGGACGGAATCGATACCGCATACCGCGTCGTTGCGGATCACGTGCGCACACTCACTTTTGCTCTGAGCGACGGAGGCGTCCCGAACAACGTCGGAAGAGGATACGTTCTGCGTCGGATTCTTCGTCGTGGTGCTCGCTATGCGCGGAAGAAGCTCGGCGTCACGATCGGGTCGTTCTTCTCTACTTTGATGCCAGTCTTGGTGGAGTCCATGGTGCGTCAACCAGATGGACTGCTCCGCTAAGTAACTTAGACGCTGCTCAGGGCGACGTCTTCCCTGAAATCACAAAGAAGCTGGATGAAATCAAGGAAATACTTGATGAAGAGGAAGAGTCGTTCTCGCGAACGCTGGATCGGGGCGAGAAGCTGTTCGATCAATTTGCCACTCGTGCAAGGGAAACCGGGCAAACAGAGCTGAACGGCAAAGATGTCTGGCGGCTGTACGACACGTTCGGGTTCCCAGTGGATCTGACTCGGCTGATGGCGGAGGAACTCAAGCTGGGTATCAACGACGCAGAGTACGAGGCAGCTCAAGCTGCATCGAAGGAGGCGAGCAAATCTTCTCAGAAGAAAGACGCCGGGGAGGTTGTCAAGCTGGATGTGCATGATATCGCGGCATTGGAAAAGAACAGTAATGTGCCCAAGACGGATGACTCTTACAAATACGGTAAACAATCCCAATGTGGTGTATCATCTCTACCCGCTCACCTGCTCTACAGCCTCTGGAAACGTCACCGCCTCGGTCAAATCCATTTTCTACAACAAATCCTTCGTCGAGTCGACGGGCAGCATCCCAGAAAGTGCATCGTTTGGTGTCATCCTAGACAAGACGAGCTTCTATGCCGAGTCTGGTGGCCAGGAATGTGACACTGGCAACATCGTCATCGACGGAGTTGCAGACTTTGAGGTCACGGGAGTGACGGTCTTCAATGGGTATGTCCTGCATGTCGGCCATCTCAAGTATGGCCAATTGAGCCTCGGCGACGAAGTCGTGTCATCATATGACGAGGTATTAGTCTTCTCTATTTAATTTTCACCTATCTTATGATGTCCAGCTGCGAAGATGGCCGCTGCGAAACAACCACACTGCAACACACATTTTAAACTTTTGTTTGCGGGAGGTGCTTGGGGACCACATCGATCAGAAGGGATCCTTGGTCGCGCCGACGAAGCTGCGGTTCGACTTTTCGCATAAGGCGCCGATTTCGGTGCCCGAGATTGCCAAGATCGAGTCGATGGGCATTGACTGGATCAAGAAGAACGTGAAAGTGTTCAGCAAAGAGCTCGATCTGCAGACTGCCCACAAAATTCCGGGGCTGCGGGCAGTGTTCGGCGAAGCGTACCCTGATCCTGTCCGGGTTGTCACCCTCGAGTACGATGTCGAGGAGATTGCGCAAGATATCACCAACCCCAAATGGCGGGGAACCAGTGTCGAGTTCTGCGGCGGGACGTGAGTTCTACTGCGCATTTCATCCACGACGCTGAAGCTGATCTGATTTTTCCAGTCACGTTGCAAAAACCGGCGACATCAAAGACTTTGTAATCGTCGAGGAGTCCGGCATCGCCAAGGGTATTCGACGTATCGTCGCTGTCACGGGGAACGAAGCTGCCGAGGTGGCCCGGGTTGCGCAGACCTTCAAGGCCAGGATCGATCAGACCGAGCAACTGACTGGAAGCGAGAAGGACTCGGCATTGAAGGCACTGACTGTTGTACGTCCTGATCATTTGTGCTGCAATCAGCTCTCACCGTGCCACCAGGAACTCAGCCAGTCGGATATCTCCGTCCTCACGAAGAGCGAGTTGAAGGACCGGCTGGGTGCTATCAGGAAGGCCTTCGACAAGCAAGTCAAGGAGAAGGAAGCTGCTGCCAACAAGGAGGTAGGATTTCACTGCTGCTCAAATAACGCAACAGGTCTTATGCCCCTTGACAGGCGCTGGACAAACTGACCCAGTACTTCAAAGACAACGAGTCGTCCGAGGTCTTCGTATCCTCGCTGGATGCTGATGCCAATGCCAAGGTCAGTGACCACCGCCTGTCCTGCGCACTTTTGTGATCATCGTTTGCAGATTCTCCAGAGTGTGGTGTCGCAAGCCAGGAAACTGGGCAAATCGGTCTATGTGTTCAGCGCAGATTCGACCAAGGTGGCACACGTAAACTTTGTGTCACCAACACTCAAGGCCAAGGGCGTCGATGCCCGCGACTGGGCTGCCAAGGTCACCGAAGTGCTCGGTGGCCGGGCCGGCGGCAAGGATGAGAGCGCCCAGGGCGTCGGGGCCAACGTTGACAAGGTCCAAGAGGCCATCGCCGCTGGCCAGGCTTACATCTCCCAGTATCTGTAGTTTGATTTTAGAATTGTATACTTTTATGCTGTGAGCTATGCTATGATGTCCTTGAGAAAAGTGCAACCAGTGTTCCGTTGGAAACGCCTTTCTTGACACTCAGCCATCGCCCCAACCGATGCTCCTGTCCCAGCCCAGCGACAAGCAGAACCTCGCTTGCTTTTCGTTTGGCCGTGGATTCCGGCTCCTGCGTCCATTCTGCTGTGAACTCCTTGGGCGGAGTGAGCAGCTGGAGCGAGTTGACTACTCCCGGTGCGGGCACAGTCCCAACGAGCGAGAAGGATCTGAGTTTGGCATCCAATTTCCATATTCGGATGTCCCCATCCCAGGACCCGGAGACGATGAGATCTGAGTAGCGCAGGCTGGCTACCGCCGTCACCCATCGTGCAGTGTTGATCACGCCCTCCGTCGAGGATTCCGCAGCGTTCAGGCCGTGAGCGAGGGCCTGGGTGAACACCGGCTTCTTTTTCTGTGTCGTCCACAGACACAACGAACTAGAGAGTTGAGCACAAGCAGCACAAGCAAGGAAAACATCACGCACCCACTGTCGCCGCCGCTAACAAAGGTACTTTCGTCGATCATGGCCACGCACTCAATGCTCCCCTCGATGAACTTGGACGTCTTCCCCCGCTCATCGTCTTCGTCCTCTCCGCGAAGTCCACCCTCAAGTACCTCTCGTATCCGGCTGCGCCCTCCGCCCCGGAATACCAACTGTGTCTCGTCCGCAATTTTCCAATATCGGACCGTTTTGTCACGGCCACCAACACTAACACAAGTCTCCCCGCGTAGAGCATCCAGAGCTAAAACATGGTCTTGGTGGCCGAACAGTGTCTCGACGTATCCCATGACTCCAGGAGTCAGATCGTACACTTTGAGAGATCGGTCATACGAGCCGGTGTAGAGCTGATGGGACCCTTTCCGGAATGCAAGAGACTGTGTATAGTTCGCTCAAAAATGGTGAGATAGTAGATGAGAGACACTCACGGATACGATGTCCTTGTGACCGACCTGCGCCACGAAACTTTTGATCCAGACGTCCTTTTCCGCGTCCCAGACTCCGACCCGTCGGTCCTTCCCAGCACTGGCAAGATATTTGCCGTCGCTGCTCAGAGCCAAGGCAAGAACGTCGTCCGTGTGCCCTTCAAGTTCACCATCCGGGACACCTTTCCCCTTCCCTTTCTTCGTCTGTGGCGCCGAGGGTCGAATTTTGTGGAAGGTCGCGACTCTGCTTCCCTTTGCGAGATCCCATTTGATGATAGAGCCCTCCTTCCCAGCAGTGAATAGAAACTTGCAAGATTCTGTCGCGACGGCGGACGTGACGGAGAATCGGTGTCCTCGTATGCGCAGCGTTCGCGGAGATTGTGTGAAGTCAATCTGCCAGATGCTTTCAGCACCACGAGAGATAAAATGGACGAAGCAAGCGCACCGAATCCGCGACCAAGAGGTGCATCTTCCCCGAATGTTCCATTACATCCTGCTTTAGACGCGCCGAAATGAGCTCCTTGTCGATCTCCGCCGCGTCGAATTCGCCATCCGCTAAGTTTCCGAATGTTCATTTGTACTCAGACTATTGATGGGGATGGAAGGCGCACCGAGACCCTCCTTGACATTCTCCAGGTAAAGTTTTGCTAACCGAAGACGCTTTTCTGCAGGCGTCTCATCTTCGTCCTCATCTCCACTGGCACCAAGGTCGGCATCATCGTCCGCCCTCAGGTCCATGTCATCGATGTCCACTCCATTGTCATCAGTCTGGTCTGAATCGAGTTCCTCATCCGCAGGTCGTTTCTTCTTGGTCGTTAGAGCAGGAGCCTTTACTTTTTTCGCTCCCGATACATCTTTTCGCGCAAACTTCTTCGTTGAGGGACCAGCAGAAGAGCTCTCCGTGCGTTTCCGTTTTCGTGGCTTGGAGGACGCGAAGAATGCATCAGGCATTCTGGAGAGCAGGAAATTTTGAAAGCTCTTGGCGATCTTCGACAAACAGGGACAACGCCCTGATCGGATCCCGCCGAAGTAGCATCATGCCTCCTCCGAGTGTCGAGTACCACTGCCCGTGTCTCTCGCGGACTACCGTGCCGCCCCCACCCCATTTAGCGTCTTCATCTCACGACTTTCATCCTCTGCACGCACTCTTCTTTTGCGAAGAATGCGACGCAGTTCGCTGCAATCGATGCGTTTCGGTCGAAGTGAGCGGATACTATTGCCCAAACTGCTTGTTCGAGGTGCCGAGTGCCAGTGTGCGCGCAGAGAAGAACAGGTCTCGTCTTCAATCCGTACATGACGCGCTATCCTCAGTCTGTTGACTTTCAGATGCGCTCGGAATTGCTTCATGTGTCCCAACTGCCGAAACACGCTATCCGTCGTGCCATCTGATCCTCCCGAGTCTACCGATGGTCGAACGCCAGTCCCAATCAGCACCGTTGGAGAGCCTCCTTTCTTTCTCTACTGTAATCACTGTCGATGGGACTCGGCTGAGGTTGGGATCACCTTCGAGAAACCGACAGGCCTGGCCGGTGTGTGCCATCCGCACCTCTCTTTTCCAGAGTCTCATTATATACAGCGCAGCTGCAGAAGTTCGAGGACTCTGCACCGGAGTCGCTGGAATTCGAGAGGCTCAAGGAGCATTTTGAACCAGTGATACGTGCATCATCACTTTCTTCGTCTACAACAAACGCCCCTGCCTCTGGCAGCGGAGCCCACTCACATCATCGTACCAATTCTATCACAGCCGCTGCATCTGCCGCTATCGCCCGTGACGTCCCCGGCGTCGGCAAATACAATCCTTTGGCCCGTGGAAGCGGCAGGGTGGGCGGCGGTGGCGCGACCAAGGACAAGTCGGTGAATCGGGACGAGATGCCGGATTATCGCAGTCGGGTGGACATCTCGACGGCTAGTGGCCTCGGGGCAGGGGGTGGTGATCTCGACATGGAATACATGCGGCGACTGGAAGATGTGGCTGAAGTGGCAAGCCTGGAGCAGAGATGGGGTGCGAGCTGGGCCACATCGCTGCGGACTGAGTGGGTGGTTTGTATTTTCGTTTTCCCTCTTCTGTTAAACTTCTTGACAGTGACTTACGACCGCTGAGGATACCTCTTCACTCCAAGCGATCTAAACGGTGTCCCGCCTGCGCCCACATTCTCATCAAACCAGAGCAGAAAGCTCAGTCTGTTCGTTACAAGATCAAACTAGTCGCATCCAACTACCTGCCCGCGATCACTGCTCTGCTCCCGCATCAGAGCGCCACTGCTGAGCCGGCAAGACGAGGAGCGAATCGTTCGATGGCAGTGGACGAAGAACAGAACACGAACGGAATTCACGCAGGTAAAACATACGCCTTCCAACTGGCTCTCACGAATCCCTTGTACGATCCCATCACTGTCCGTCTTGGTGTGCAGCGACTGCATGCGCATGCTCAATCCAATCCACCGCCGTCCTCGGTTTCTCCCGAAAAGACGAGTCGGCGCCCTCCTTATGCGATCAATCTCCCCTCGACGCCCTTCCCAATTGCTGCGTTTGCAGAGGCTTGGGAGTACGAAGATGACGAAGAGGACGATATGTTTGGGCTCGACGACGACGATGACTTTGGGCTTGCAGGCCGGATGTCAGGCCGGGATCGGGAACGAGACCAGGACCGGAATAAACCGAAGACTGTGGGCGTGCTGGAGAAGAAGGCGAACATGACTGTGGTTGGAGGCGAAGTCATGATCGGCAAGGAGGCGCGAGGGAACGTCAAGGTGAGCTCGTCGACGATTGTCTCTGTGACCGCACTGATAGCGCATCAGTTCAACATGCTGGTCACCTACACGTACCGATCTGACGACGTGACGCCGTCTGAGGCGGAGGGAATGACGAAGGCGGCAGCGAACAAACCTCCGGAAACTAAAACGTTTGCGTTCTACACCGTCGTTGATTTAGGTCTTATTGTGCCGCGGGAGGAACCGCGCGAGGAGTTTTGAATAGAACATATTACGAGTTGCAGCAAAAATAGAGAATGGTAATAAACAACCGCAAAAGACCGTAAATTTACTGAGAGAGGGTGGTATTCAAGAATCCAGCGCCGAGAGTGGAGACGAGGGCATTGCGCAGCGAGTCGATGCCCTCGGTGGTGAAGACCGAGGACATGAGCGGAGCGACGATGGAGCTCTCGCAGGCGTCATCGGTGTGGGCCACAGCGACGTCGCGGCGGAAGTGGACGCCGGGCGAGACGGTGACACAGTTGTACTGGGACTGGGCAGCGCGGAGCTGGCAGATGTCGTCCGACTTGCAGCTGCCGGTGCAGGGCGCGAGGGTGCCAGAGGTGTCTCGCGACTTGCGGGCGACGTACTGCTGGAAGACAGCGTCGTCGGACTCGAAGAGGGCGGTCACGTTGTGCCAGAACGCGGGGGTCAGCTCGCCAGAGGTGACGCCCAGCTGCTGTCCGTATGTCTCCTTGACCGAGTACAGCTTGGCCCAGGTCGGCGACGTCTGGAACGTTGGCAACGACATGTCCGCGTAGTAGACCGTCATGTCGAGGATGGCGAAGGTCACGGGGTCGACGTCGTACACTCGGAACGTCGGGTTGCCGGATGTCGGGGTCAGCGCTGGGGCGATGTAGGACATCATCGTGGCGGTGCTGGCCGAGGGCGCCGACCAGTCGCTGTACGCAATCTGGAACTCATCTTTGTGCGTGTGACCATAGAAGACGCCGACGATCGTGGCGGAGAAGCGCTGGATGATGGTGTCAAAGTAGTATGACTGGTCGTGGAACGCATCGCCGGCGCCGAGGGGCATATGACCGAGGATCCAGACACGTTCGCCAGCAGTCTCCGCGGCCTGCAGTTCGCCGGCGAGCCACGTGAGAAGGCCTGCAGGGTCATGCTCCATCGTCTTCTCGTAAAGCCAGTAGTTCGCCTTGTACCAGAAATTCGTGTTCACACTGATGATCCGCAGCCCCGATGAAGTCAGCGTCGAGTAGCTGCCAAAGTTGTTCGAGACCTGTGAAGCGGCAGCACTGCCGATCCACTGCTGGATGTTGGCCGAAAGGTCGTCGTACGAGATCTGCGTTTCGGGCGCGTAGTCCGTGCTCACTGCCGGCGGAGGGAACGAGTTGACCGGCGCCGAGTCGTGGTTACCGATCACCGCATACGTCTCGCCAATGCTCGCCATGCGGGAGTAAGCGTCCTTGAGATTCGTCGTCACCTCGGTCGTCGAGGACAGCCACACGTCACCTTCGACAACATCACCAGTGAAGATGCTGAATGCCAAGTTCGGCACGAGCTGTTTAATCGCGGAGTACATGCTCTCCTCCAGGGAGACCGGAGTGTCACAGGCCGAGTTTCCGAATGGTCCAGCGGGAGTGTTCGTCACACCGGGGGCTTCATCCGCTGTGTAGGCGCGGCAGCAGATGTTCTTCGTGCAGTTGAAGCTGGCGCCGACCGTGTAGTCCAAGTCGACGTGGATGTCGCTGATGTGAACGACCTGGATCGGCTTCTGGGTGCTCGGAGTGGGGCGGCGAGCGTTGGCCGGTTTCGGGGACATCGACACGGAGAACGATGTGTCGACCGCAGGCGCCTGGCACAGACCAAACACAGTCATGCAGAACAGGTCCGCGGTCTTGCTTCCGACCGACATCACACGCAGGTCGTGCGCAAGAATGGGTCCCTCGAGCCCGATCGCGCCAGTGCAGACATCGGGATCCTGCACGCCGAGGCTCTTGCAGACGCTCGTGATCACGTTCGTGAAGTTCGGGTTACCGGTGTGAGCCAGAGCCTGGAGGACAAGGAGCAGTGCCTGACACGATGAACAGGTCGCGGCGTTCTCGATAGCGGAAAGGATAGACGACGCGGTATCGCGCTTCGCATAGGCGGCAAGCGATTGCGCCAGAACATCGGAGACCGTCAGCGCATTGGTGACTGCGAAGAAGAAGGGCAGCAGGGCTCCGAGAACGCGAAACAGTCTCATGATGAGAGGACGCGAGGGATTCAGAGAACAGTACCCCCCTTAAATAAGTCTAATCTATATTTGACAAACAACGATGTCGAAGATCGTCGGACAAGCAACCAACGTGGATCTGCGTCATGTGTAGTTTTTGAGATTCTGCATGGTTCTGCCTTCCATGGCAGCCCGAATCAGAAGCTAATAGCCAAGATCGGCCACAGCACGTTCGAAGCATTGCCTCCGAGCGCAACGATAATAAAGAAGCGGCCGCATCACCAATACGCGTAGCGTTTGAGCCTTGCTGGGGTAACCGTTTACGAATATCTAGTCGGCCCAGGCATTTTGGATGGGGCCGAGTGTTTTCGCGTTTCAGAGAAGATGCATAGACCGCTTGGAAGCACGGAACGTTTCCTGATGCGTCATGCGACTAGACAAGCACACTTACCTTGCGATGGAACCTTGTGCACTCTCAGCCATGGCTTCTGCCCTGTGTATATCGAACCATTGAATAAGAACGAGAGTCTGGGAGTGCATGATGAACGTTGCATGAGAAGTGCCTGACAGTGCCTATTTCTGTTTCCGCGACTAGTGCCGGTTTTGATGCCGCTTGATGTCGGATATCGCCGAGCGGAAGGGGACAAATCAATTGCTGTAACTGAGTCCTGGTTCAAGAGACAGAAAATGTTTTGAGCACAGCAACGATCTCCATTTAGCATCTACGAACTAGATACCACCCGAAATCCACAGGAATTCCAAGACTTGAAGTGTAAAAATCGACCTTGGATCAGAACTACATAGCAGCACGTGAGACCTCACAATGTCACACGATTGTCACGCTTCTCCGTCGACAAACGCAATTCCTCAAGACTCTAGCTAACGATGTCGCTCGTCGTCCCCGAGGCCCACCAGCAGTTCCAGGTGCGTGCGACGACGGTTTGCATCTCCGGATTTCTCACCCTCCCATAGCACATTCTGCGTCTGCTCAACACTAACGTTGATGGAAAGCGCAAAATCATGTATGCCTTGACTGAAATCAAGGGTGTCGGTCGCCGCTACTCCAACATTGTGTGCAAAAAGGCCGATGTCGACCTGAACAAGCGGTGCGTCGTCAAGTGCGCCTTTCAGTCCAAGTTCTCATTCGATGCAGTGCCGGTGACTTGAACTCGGACGAGCTTGAGCGGATCGTGACCATTATCCAAAACCCCACTCAGTTCAAGATCCCGACATGGTTCCTGAACAGGCAAAAAGACATTGTGGACGGCAAAAACTTCCAGATCCTTTCTAACGGCGTCGACTCCAAGCTGCGTGATGACCTGGAGCGTCTGAAGAAGATCCGAGCACACCGAGGTCTGCGTCACTTCTGGGGTCTCCGGGTGCGTGGACAGCACACCAAGACGACTGGTCCGTTCACAACCTTATATTGCTAAACTGCGCTGCTCACTTGGATTTGTCAGGTCGTCGTGGAAAGACCGTCGGTGTGTCGAAGAAGCGTGGTTAGATCCTTCGTGTATTGTTTTATCTCATGCATTCAATCCATGCTCTCCATGCCTATGTACATGTCCGAGTTTCTGCACGATTCTGCGAATAACGTCAGAGCTAGAAATAAGGATCCGCTACGAGAGTTCTCCTCGGCTCTCTGGAAGTTTCCCGAAGCCGTCACATGATGTATTTAGTCGCGCATCTCCTCGTCCCGACATGTATCTGAACTCCATGTGCTCAGTTCACTCCCATCCCTGGATGTCCTCCAAGACCAAGCGCAAGTTCGATTCTGCGTTTCTAATCCCCGAGCGTCCTGCAAAACGCCTTCATACGTCCTTCGAACGTGGTTTTGCCAATCTATCGTTAGACATTCAGCAAACCCCGAATCCTCCTTCAACCTCTGCACCGTCCACCTATCCACCGTTATCATCACGTCCTATCGTTGAGGAACCCCGGACGCCGACTCCCCCCGCGCCGGAGGTTGATATGACCGCAACTTCTTGGTACGAAGCCGAACCTGATCGTGAGTACTTGGCTATCTACTCTCATGCATGTACTCCGTTACGACACACATTTATAGGTATAGTTATCACAGACCTGTCCCTTTACACGCAAGAACTCGAGCAATCGGAAGTTCCCGCGGAAAACGCGTCGGATTCGGTGTCGGTGTCCTCCTCCCTCCTGCAACGCATACACTCTCGCGCAATGGATAACCCATTACCGAACCTTTTGCCCCATCAGGAATCCCAGGCTCTTGTCCTTTTTCGCCCATTGCCCTTTCGCAGCGAAGGACCTCAGGTTGAAGAAGTTGAGGACCCTGAGGGAAGCTTTCCGATAGAACCGGACCCAGACCCAGACCCATATGCCATGGAAGTGGAACCCTAAAAAGATACATACTGATTGCGCTCTTCCTCTCTGTAACTGCTGTACACACATATATATACATAACTGCTATTGATCAGATTTCCATGAAAGATAAGCAAGTGTCTAATGAGGGGGTTCACGACCCATCACTCCCGAAGCCCATGCCTGCCGTGCCGTAGAGATCTTGAGCAAACATCTGCCGGTGGCGAGAATGCGCATGAGGATGCGGTACGTGATGCAATTGTGCAGCAGTACCATAGGGAGCACTCATTGCGTGATGGGCGTGCGGAAAGAGGGAGGACGAGTGGGAATGCATTTGCCCGTGTAGGGACGGAGGAGTATGTGAATGCAAGTGTGGAGACATAGCCGGCGAATGAGAGTGCAATGATGACTGCGAATGCAACGGAGGAGTCTGGGAATGCATCGGCGTCGATTGGGTATGCATGATAGGCGTCCGGACGTGATTCGACAGGGAAGTGGTGAGTTGGACCTGAGAATGCGGGTGCATATGAGGATGGTGATGCCCTGGGTGTTGTTGACCCGGTACCGGGACTGCCGAGTGAGAAGTTGGTTGCCTTGTCGTAAGGGTTTGTGGTGGCTGCGAGCCCGCATGGAGCTGGCGCTGGGCCTGGCTGGGATCTAGCTGCATCGGCTGCATGTCGTAGGACATTCCCATCATGGCCATGGTCGAGTCTTGCGATTGCATGTACCCCTCCATTGCCATGGAATCGGCCTGTTCATCGTCTTCCATGTCTTCGTCATCCGCATCAGCCATGTTGTTGTTGAGAGATGCGTTGTCGGGTGGCGAAGCGAAGGTAGATGGCCCAGCACCGTCATCGCCGCCTGCGGCCTTTTGTGCTGCAATTTCTTCCGACGTTAGAAATCTCCCGCCGGGCCCTCGGGGCCTTCGCATAGCGTGTTTGTGTCGCGATTCATGTAAGTAAGGCTAGGATTCTCAATTTCAGGAAAAGTCGATTGCGAGATGTAAGCGGTATCAGGCGTACCTTACGCTGCTTCGACAAACGGTGTAATTCCTCCAATCGCGCCCGTGCGACACGGCGCTTGAGAATGCGAAAGTATTGTTTTGCGTTCACGTAGAGGGGCTCGTCGTCAACGGGAGGAATATAGAGGTCGTCGCTCTGAAAGTAGAAGGGCTGATAGCTCGGCGAAAGATCAGACTCGTTGTTCATTGTGATTGGTGGACGGGAGAGTGTTCAAGACCCGCGAGTCACACCGTGACATTACCTTTCTACTGTCGAAATGGAAACGAAACTCAAGTCCCTCAAAGTAGTAGAGCTGAAGGAGGTCTTGTCGAACGCCCAACAGACAGCTCCAACCAAGGCGACGAAGAGCGACTTGATTGCCCGGATAATTGCAAGCAAAGAAGCTACGGATGCATATTACGCTAAATATGCACCCAAAGACGACCTCTTGGCACCTCCAGAAGAGTATGTCATCTTCAGCCGTTTCACTTCCGTTTTCTGTACTTATAAAGATAGATTGGATTGGGATGAACCCAGCAATGGGCCGGACACCACAACAGCAGCCGTACCAGAGGTATGTCGCGTCGCGTCGCGTGTGGTTCATTCTCATCTGCCCTGCCCAGAAACAGGCCGCTGTAGCGAAACCCCCCATCGCGAAACCCGCTAATGTGAAGCCCATTTCTGTGCCCGAAACTCCTGCAACACACGTCGCTATTCCTACTCCCGCCAATGCAGAGCCTGCCCCTGCTGTCGAGCCTACCATTTCTTCATCCATCATCGACGCAGAGTTGGAGAAGAGAAAAATCCGCGCTGAGAGATTCAACATCCCTTTAGTAGAGGTGAAGGCACCGGTGATTAAGACGCCCGCGGTCAAGGAGAACAAAGCAGCCCCCGTCAATGCGCGCAGCAAGAAGATGCCTTCAACAGAGGTGAGCCATCAGCTGCATGTCTTCTTTACTAATCACTATCGAACAGGAACAAGAAAAGCTCCAGGCGCGTTCGGCCCGCTTCGGAGTGGGGCAAAAGCGCCCGGCCCCGGTTGCTGAGGAGGTTGATGCGGAAGAGCAGGTGCGACGTCAAAAGAGGGCGGAACGTTTTGGGACGGGAGTAGCGGCCAAGGCGACGTGAGATCACGGTCAGTTCTTGAATCAGTGTGTCCTGTCCATCCCCGCATCCTGGGTATGTTCATCCCCGCGCCCTGGGTATCACTTGCGCTGATCACGAACCCAGGGCAAAGCCCATCACACTCTTGTATATAACAGTCACAAATTCGTATACTTTGTTTCTCGCCATGACTTCGAGACCGAAACGCCAGACTATATATGGGGAAACGTACACTGTACTCGACGAGCCCCTCGTAACAACCGAACTCGTTCGCCTGACCAATCCACGGACACTCCTCGGCTCAGACATCGTCGAACTCCAGCCGTGCACTACGCCCTCCGAGCGCTCGCAGGATCGCTTCGTCGTTCGTGAATGGCCCCTTCCGAATGGCTTGTGGAAGTTCCAGGCCATCTTTGATGGCCATGCTGGTCACGAGACCGTCGATTACGTCGTTGATGCCGTCCCCGACGCGATACACGAAGCGCTTGTGGGTGCACTGGCTGTGGATGAGGCCCCCGACATTTCCGATCTTCTGCGCGTTGCCATTTCTGGCGTAGACGACCAGATCAAACAGGAGTTTTTGGACCTGTTCCCTGGCGGCCCGGATGGCCTATCGTCAATGTCAGACGAGGAGATCGACGTCATCATCAACGAGGATGAGACGAGCGCCCTCAAGGTTATACGGTGTATGCGTGGAACGACAGCTCTGGTCGTGCTAATCAGTCCTTCTCTGGACGTCTACGTGGCAAGCTTGGGAGATTGTCAGGCGGGTGGGTGCATATATTGACTCGCTGATGCCATAGTTCTGACGATAGTCTAGTGCTTGGCTACCAAAGCAAATCGGGAGAATGGACTTCGCGCGTATTGAGCTCCAATCATAACGGAAGCGACGCTGCCGAAGCCAGTCGTATTAGGAGCGAGCATCCCGGAGAAGAATCTTCCTGTGTGTTAAGGGACCGTGTTCTCGGCGCAATCGCAGTAACTCGAGGTTCGGTTTATCTTGTTAGTCAGCGGATATCGTTCACTGATAGTAACCAGCTCTGGGCGACTTTGTGTTCAAGCTGCCGGCCATTTATACCACACGAATCTTTCTGCAGGCTCGGTCTGGGTTCCAGATCCGAACCAAAATCCAGGATTTCATTCAGCGAAATCTCACTCCTCCTTATTTGTCTGCTGTACCAGACGTTCAGCATATCTCCTTGCCAGCTCTGGAAGCTTCCGAAGCCTTTTTGCTGCTGACTTCGGATGGGTTGATTGATCTGTCAGGAGATACTTATGGAAATGACCATCGAGACCCACAGCTCGCGAGCAAGAAGTGGCTGCAATCTTTGACACGCGCAACTCGACCGCAGCAGGACAATGCAGCCTTGTATTTGCTGAGAGATGTCATGGGGTGGGAGCCAGATCCGTTGTCCTCGCTCCTTGCTGTCGAGTCCAAATCAAAGTGGATGGACGATGTTACGGTCATATACACGCCGTTGCTGTCTAGGTGAGTATCTTCAGTAAGTACCATTGTTCCCTCACTGAAGATGCAAGCCCATAACTTATATCTACATACTGTTGGAAAACGTGGCAATATAATGTTACGCCAGAGAATGCGAGATCATACCGTAATGTGACGCGACGCGGCTAGATCGTGACGCACTCTCTCCTTTGACCTCAGTGAACAACCATCCTATACACCGCGACCTTCATTTGGATTTCGAACATGCCCGTTCTGATACCTAGCGATATGTCTGTGGTCTCACTCAGCCTCAGCCAGCTATCCCCCGACGAACCGCTTTTATCACAATCCCTCACGCTCTCTTCAATTTCTACTGCTATGTCTTCAAACATTCCAACTATTCCCGCCGGCTGCATAATACCTTTTTCTACCATCATTGGACATCGAGAGGGTCCTACAATGGGCTGCACGCGAACTTTCAAAGCTACCCCCACTGCCCCGACCTCGCCACGGCTGAGGACTATGCTCAAAGAGAAACTGTTGATTGAGACATGGCTAGTGCGTATTACCCACGTCTGATATGTCTTTGTTCTCTAAAAATGATGAAGAACGGGGTCGACTCTGACTCTTCCGTCCACGCCCCCTGGACGCACGCAACGCAAGCTGATTCGTCTGCATGGAAAGCTGAAGGCTCCGCACATAGCCCTGAATCATTCAAAGAACGTATTGAGCTTTCTCGCAGAGAAAAAAGCAGCAAGACAACTCAAACCTTCCCGTCCCTCAGCAAAAGAAACAGGAATTCGAATCGGGACGCCTTGGTATTTGAACGAGAGATCATCCTGAACACCGGGAAAGGTAAATCCAAACGTGTCTCTTTGCAGGCTCCAGCAACCCGAATGGATCCAGAAGTTGTCGATATGATCTCAGAGCTCAAGGATCTCAATGCGTTTTTCAAAGAGCAAGAAACTATACTCGAAACACCTCCTGCACTTTCTCTACCATCGCTCATCATTTCAAACTCTCACTTCTCTATGCCGGTTTCCCTCGAATCATCTGGAAACCTCAGCTCAGTGGGCACCCCACTCGCTCTTGCTGCTCGGCGAGGCAAGAAGATGCTTCCTCGGCTGACCTTCAAGAAAGCCGCGGGCGCTACCGATTATCCGAGCATGCCCACCGCGTTTCTGGGAACTCCCTCTGCCTACTCTCCCAACTTCCAGTTCTCTGCGAATGCTGCTGCCAAGTCGTCTATGGATGTTCGGGAGATGATCACCAGCCTCAGATCTCAATGCGGTCCGATTGACTCTGATCCTGAGGAGGATGAGTACAGCATCTGCGTGGCATCTGTTGAAAGTGACGAAGAGGCTGCCAATGATGATGATGACGAATGGGCCTTTGCTGATGGACTTGTTGACACGTCGGAACTAACCGAGTCGGTTTTCCTCCCAGCCTGTTCGCCCCCCGAAACGGTTCCCAGTGCCAGTGCCCCGCCGGCGACACCTTTGCCACCTTGCCCGGGGCCACAGCGAGCCAGTGTGCGAAGCATCCTCAAGAGCTCAAAAAGCGTCCGGTTTGCATCGCTGCCCCATGAGCGGAAGGTGTCTGTTGTCAACAAACCCTCAGCGCAAAAGGCGTCGGTTGCGAGGGCGCAATCGACGTTGGTCCGTCCCAAAAGCCTCAACCCGTCGCCAGTCAAGACCTCGTCATTACCATCTCGTCATGCTGGTCAGCGACGAGCAACAATCCCGGTCTCTTTCCGGCCTGATTCTTCGGCGGAAGTGCCGTCCACCGCGAAAACGACGCACTCAGCCGGCAGGCATTCTTTGAGTCGTGTGTTTTCCAGTGCCAATCCGCGCAAGGAGAAAGAGAACAGGCCTTTTGAGACGGTGAATTCGAGGAGACTCTCAACTGCACCCGCAACGCGCTGGACGGTAAACGAAAGTGCGCTGCGCCGTGCCTCCGTTGTTGGACCGCCAGCGCCAGGCCAGAAAAGCCGCATGCCTGTCCCTTTACGCAACATATTCACTAGATTCAAGTAGTTCATATGTAAAGTGCAAGGGATCCACCTTTGTTGATGAACCGAAAACCTAGACCAGGTGAAGAGCAATGGCACGGTCCGTATGCTACGACTTGAAAGGAGCCTAACAGGGACACGTGATCGCGTCTCGTACTTCGGCAAAAACATTGAAACGACTTGAACTTCAATGGATCCTAGCCTTGCATGAAGTATACCGCACCAACTCACCTTGCCACTGAGCGCTCGGCTGGGGATTTCCCATCTTACCATGACATGAGGTGGAGCCATACTGCGGCGCAGCTATCAGCTTGCCATCTTCGTTCACCACATCGTCCGATATGCCTGCCGTTGTTGAAACGGTAGACGAGCTTTCTGCTCTGCTCTCTAGATCGAGGATCCACTTTCTAGACAATCTTCGCTCGTTTCTCGTCGCCCTCGTCGTCCTTCACCATGCCTGTATGCCGTATGGTGGCGTTGGATCTTGGCCGTACCCTTTGCAGTACCCCGTAGGCCACTCTGTCGTCCTTACGGTGTTCCAAGTCGTGAACCAGTCCTTCTTCATGGGTCTGCTGTTCTTCCTGTCAGGTCACTTTTCGTCACACGCTGCGGACCACAAGACATGGAACCAGTTTGTCCTGTACAAACTCAAACGCCTGGGCATCCCAGCTGTGGTCTATACGTTGTCCGTTCAGCCTCTCAGCATTGTCTTGGTGCGATGGTCTCAACACCTGCCCGTTCTCTCGGCGCTTGTAGAGTATTATCGTCACCTGGATGGTGTGAGAGGTATAGTGTGGTGCGTTTCAATGGGTAACCTTTTGTGCGGCTTCGTCGATCTAACATGTCCAGGTACCTTGCCGTCTTGCTCGTCTTCGACCTGGTGTATATCACTGTCAGGAAGTATCTTCCGTCTCTCACCTATCTGGTCCCACGATCACTAGGGGCATTCAGAGCCGCGGCCTTCGGGAGCATCTTGTCCGTGATCGTGGCATCGTTCCTAATCCGCTTGTCCCATCCTGTGGGACGCTCGACCCCGCCTCTCAACGTGCAATTGGCCTACGCCCCCCAATACGTGCTGGCCTACACCGCTGGCACGTGTCTCTCCAAAATCCAGCAGTTCATTCTTCGTCCCCATCCAGGGAGAGATCTCGCGCTGACTTTGCTCGTCGCTGTCTCGTCGGCGGTCGCACTGTACACCATTTCTCCGAGCATCAACCTGATGTTGGGTGGCATGAATCCGCTCGCGCTGCTCTACGCGATCTGGAACGAGCTTTGCTTCTATTTTCTGGGGACATCGCTTTTTGCCGGGTTCCACGACTGGAAACTGACCTCCAAGAAATGGGGATCCACTGCTCGTTATGCATACGGCGCATATCTCGTGCATGCGCTGGTCGTGGTGGGCTTGCAGATCCTGTTGCACAGCTCACCCGCCCCTCCATTACTGAAGGCGCTGATTGTCGGGTTGTCTGGTGTCTGTTTGAGTTGGGCTGGGGGTCGGGCTTTACTTGGCATTCCGGGTGCTAGCAGGATTCTATAATCGGATGTACATATCACAGAGAGCTGTCCTATCAGACTCTAATTGCCTCCGGTCCTTCTCTCGATGAACCCTCGGATACTCGCATGGCCGTCTAGACTAGCAAAGAAACACCTCTTCGTCGCATTCTCCCACAGCACAACATCGATCTGCTTCGCATAATTCAGGACCAATTCATAGTCGGCTGGAGATGTGAACGCAGTGTACAGGTATCCTGGCATGAGATCAGGCCAGGCTGGCGAGCGGAAAAACATCCACTCACCCTCTTGGGACTTGAGTCGGTTCTTTTCCAACTCCCACAATCTGATCTGATCCTGCACCGTGACAGGAAGAAGCGGATTCTATTGCCATGCGTCAATCATCCACGTTTGCAACCCCGAACGACGACGAACGTTTTTGTGCATTTGAGGATGCGCATGTGCGATGAGATATGTGATTATCTGGGCAGGCTTCTTTCTTGGCTGTGATCAGGATCGGACGGGCAGACACTGACCTGTTCTGCGGTGATCCCATTGTTGAGTGCTTTCTTGACACTCTCGCGAGTTATGGAGCCCACCACAAGATTTGGGAAGCGATACTTTAGTGTCACAAACAAGTTAAGCACGGCGGTCTGAAGTGGATTATCTGGATCGAGTCAGCTCGGGATATCTTCTGGATGTTGGTCTCACCAGTGTAAGCATACACTCGATAGTTGGTCTCCAGCACGATAAATCCCTCTTGAGGACCAGAGCCTGCCGAAGACGGTAATGGGGGTGAGGACGATGTCAGTGTAGTCGCAAGTCTTGTAGGATAAAATCGTTTCGAGGAGGGCTACTTGTGCTGAGATCAACTTGTGAGATAGACTTCGAGGAATGGGACACACCCTTGGCTGCCAGAGAAGCCCATAGTCACGCAAGACGTCCAACACGGCCTGATGTGTGAGGGCCGCTGTTTCTGTTGTGCTGAGTCCTTCCGTGGTGTACTCCTGCGATGAGATCAAATCCAGCAGCGGTTCGGATCGAATGCACGTACCTTGCCAAGCTGCATTGTCGATAGCATGAATAAGAAGCTCAAAACCTCCACCAGATCCATCCCCAGCTCTTCAGTCATCCTCAGATACTGTAACAGAAGATCCCAGAGTTGCTCGTGCGGTGAATAGAGCAGGAATTGAAAGCCTGCAGATGTGATTTGCATCGAGCCACTGAAGCGACAAGTGAGCATGTGGACCAAGTTACATCTTATTCGAGTGTTGCTTACTTGGGACTTGCCATGAGCCCACTCCTTGTAAGCAAGTACAACACCTCCTTCGACGGCCGAACGGAGCTCGAGCCTGTGTTCGAGGACACCATGAAGTGCAATACCGTCTGTCCAATATATTGAGCACGAGAGTTAGCCAAGGAAAGACAGAAACGCGCCTCCCATCGCTCGAGCGCATACGCATCCAGTTCCTCCACCGACATTGTCTCGTACTGGCGATCCGGCTCCGCCAGCACTCCAAAGCTCCCTACGGCTCCGCTGGACGGAAATGCGAGCCCGCTCATTGACAAATCAGGTCGCGACCCACCTCCCTGTCAGCGCCTGTCGAAAACTCGTCTTGAATGTGGGGTTCAGCGCAAGCTTGATGGGCGAGGTCGTGATGATGTGCAGCCCGAAAAGAGGTTTCAATGCGACGTCGTATCGTCTGAGGGCGACAAAGCTCAAGCAACAACTCGATTCTCTTTCCTTCGACGTACTTTTTCTCGTCGCGGACGACCCAGGCTGCCATGGTCGAAAGTGGTACTGCGGAATCCAGCCAAAGCAAGTTCATGACGATTTGCTGCTGCAACGGCGCGAGGAGTCTATCGAATAGCAGAGCGCACGCGTTAAAGGTTGATAGCTAACAGGGATCCGGGAGTGTTACCGGAAGACTGAAAGGCATGATGAGGGTCGCTGGTATAGACGCGTGATTGTGTTTTGCGATTGAGACTGCAGAAATGGGAGAAGCGAATGTGGGCTGTCGACCTGCTCAACTGGAGCGTTCAGTACTAGCGAAGGCATAATGAATTGGAATGTAAACAGTCAAGCTTGAAGCGACAAGACTGGATCAAATAACCGGGGTTTGAAAGTCAATCAGTGGCAGTGTTGGAGCTGGATTACTGAGACTATGGAAAGGTCGTTCATATAGCCAGACAGGGTAGTGTTACAAGTAGTGAGTATGTGTATACGACAGTAGCAAAGCGATTGATTGAGTTTTCGGATAGGAATTCGCGCAAATGAAGCAAGTATCTGATTTCTTCGAAAGACCATGGGATGCCCCTAGAACAGGGACATCGAAGTGACTACGAGATATCCATGGCAGTGGCATCCGTACTGGGAAGCAGATCATCGTCAATATCGCTCCAGTTGAACAAGTCATCCGCTGGGATATCGGCGAAGTCTGCAATTGCCTCTTGTTCTGCAATGTACGCAGCCAGAGCCTCGTCGTCTTCTGCTTCCTCCTCTGCTGATGCAGCTTCCGAAGGATCGAGGTGGTCAGCTGGAACAAAATAGTAATCAGCACCACTCAGCAACAATGACATAGACCGCGTTTACCTAGCTCTGACTCCCATTCTTCAGGCGCTTCCAAAGCGGGGTCGAAAGATCCGACTTCCCGGTCATAGGAATACGCATATGCGTGCTTGATTTTGTTCTCTGTGTTGACCATGATACGTTTGAAAAACTAGGGAACCAGAAGTCAGCGAAAAGAGGGCACATAGGAGATGCGTGTGTCCGTCTCACCTGGTCATTGGTGACATCGTCCTCTTCGTCGGACTGCATCTCCCTCTCCATATCCACATCGTCACTGCCAAATTCACTGCTCCCGCCCGTCTGACGTTTCTTTTGTACCGCCCTTTGTCGCGCTTTACTCGCTCGGTCAATGCACCGTAGCTTGAACCGCGTCCTCAGAAATGCGGCTTGAGAATCATCCCCAGCGGCACCCAATTGCGAACCGACGCCCAATGCCAGGTCCTTGCTCTGCCGCCGTGAACCCCCGCCACTGCTCAGACCTGGTAGCTGCAGACTCGGTATACGAGGTTTGTATTGACTCCTTCTACGCTCCTGCACAGCTGAAATTGGTGACGAGGCTGATGGCCCGAGTGGACTGGAGTTGAATGGGTCTGAGGGGGCTAGCGGAGAGGAGTGAATTGGACGGTGAGAGTGTGCTTTTGTTGAAGGCCCCGGAATTTGTCTCGGAGTGGCAACGTGTTGGGATATTGGTGTAGTAGGGAAGATGTAGTGAGAGGACGCCGTGCTGGACATGATGACAGACTCAGAACAGGAGAGGCAGCCTGAGACATGGTGTGATGGTTGACGTATTGGGATCTCGTGATGTGACCCAACGCGCCAGGACATTTAATCTCATCTTTGTGGCGGTGCAACTATTGGTGCAGATTTCATCATGAATATCCTTACAAACCCAGCTATGAAGTACTCGATACAAAAACGCCCGAAGTTGGTTTTACCATGTCGAGTTCACTGATGCCATCTGCATAAGCAACATTCTCCTCTGTTGTGCACTGACAAACGCACCTTTTGCACGCTTTTCTCGAAGGGCGTCATCCAGAATGAGTTGGTTGTGTCTCTCGAGCATCTCAACATAAGGCTTCAAGGATGTTCGTTCCCAATCTAGATGCGAATGAGTATCGATTACAGGACAGACCCTCGAATCTTACCTGAGTGATGCTCTCCCTCGATGCCTTCCATTCCTGCAGAATTATCGAGTTCATTCAGGAGCTGGCTCACGGTCGGTACACTGAGTGGGTCGAATTTATCGATCTTCTGTGGGTCTACGGGAACACAGATCCTTCCTGTTTTCGGATGAACGCAGAATGGCGCCTTGAGCAAGTGATTTCTCTTCTTGGACACGTTTTCGTCTAAGCGTGGATAGGTGTATTGCAGAATTATGTCCTCCATAGCAGCGGTTAGAGCGGCCTGAAACGACAATCAACAAAACAACTGAGAGTGGCTAGCATATAAAAGCACTCGTTGTGAAGTTTCTTTTTTGAACGATTTGATTTGCTTTTTGAAATCGGCCCATTTATCTTCGGATGACGAGTGAGAAGATGACTCCCATTGGGAGCGGAGCGCATCAACCACGCGAGGTTCTGGTATCAGACGAAGCAAGGCTTCCCAGCCCTTCTCTGTTTCAAAGCAGTCTTGGTCGCGCAGAATGAGATCTGTGAAAACCATAGCCAGCTCGTCCAGGGCTGGCCTGCGTCAATATGAGAGGTGAACGGCCGTGATTAACGTCGTCCAACGTACCTCAAAGACGCAGGCAATACCCTTGACCCATATCTCACGTTCAGTTTCTTGTTCTCGTCCTTCGGCACGACTGTCAAGAAGGCTACCATCGTCTTGCGCTGATCATCCGTCAACTCCATAGCCTCCGTGTCCGATATCCACAGATGAATTCCACGACGACCCGAGTAGACCCAAAGCAGATGGACGTATCCGAATTGGTCCCGAATTGTGTGGTCAAGCACGCGAACAGCCGCTGCGATGAACGCCCAACATCGATGACAGATGCCGGCATCAGTGCAGCAGTTGCGAACGGGATCGTAGTCGGTCATATCGATATCAAAGACGAGTTCACGCTGCGTTGGCACGAAACCATTTCCGGCAGTTTTGCGATCGCGGGGCTGCCTGGCGTTCAATCTAGTGGCAAGGCACGTCACCATATACACGCACCCGAGCTGTATACACCGGCCCAATCTCAAAACGCGTCGGATTAAACTTGCAGACCATGCGTTTGAACTCTTCAGCGTCATTGAAGGAGTTGTACCGTATCATGCTGTCGTTCGGAAGGTTGAAGGCGATCTCGCGGTTAGTGAAGAGAGTGCTTGGGGTGGGGGAGTGATTTAGCCAATGGAAAATGGGTTTGAATGGATACAGCCTTCGGTAGAAGGTGAGCATAACATCGGTGGACACTTTGTCTCCCATGGCGTTGAGAGGGAGAGGCGAGTTTGACGCGTGCCTGTCACATCATGTGATAGGTCACTAACGCGCCTAGATTCCATCTCACAACTTCAAGCATACTCCGTGAAAGAAGGATGATTACAGAAGACTGATACGCATTGCAGAACAGGACAGGGACTAGTTTTGAGTACTGTACAACAACAATAACAGGAGATCGAGAGAAACAAGAAAGCTGAAAGATGTGCATTTCGGCAAGTCCATACTTGATCAACATGCTGACATTTTCGATTGCGACGCTCAAGCGCCTGGAATGAGAGGCGCCCGTTCCGCATCATCAAGACGGACACCGCCACGGCTCTTGGTGAAGGCGCCATATGCACCTTTGATCACCCAAACCAATGCGATGATGGCGAAGACGAGCGCGCTCCAGTGAACGAATCCGCTCTGAGTCTGCTGGGCGAAGATGGCCCAGAGCGACCAAGCGATGGCGATCGAGGCAGGAAGATCGCCCTCAGCAGACGAGAAAGCATACGTGGCCGCAGTGCCCTCAAGGAAGAAGCTGAGAAGCGAGTCAGTAATGGAGGCAAGGCGGCGGAAGTTATAACTCACAGGGCAAGGAACACAAAGATTTTAGTCCAGACTCCTGCAGACTTCACGGCGGCATTCACCCCAAACGCCTGGAAGGCGGTGATGATGACGAGGACGGTGGTCCATCCATGGTACAGGGAGAAGGGAAGATGAACAAAGATTTCATCGCCCAAGTTCTCTGCGACATGGTACTTCTTGACGATATAGTAGATGTGCTGTAGCGTGTGTCAGCAAAGTCCATGTGAATTTGCTGAATGCACATACTGTCGTTGCGGAACTAACGAAGAGGGAGAAAACAAAGGCGATGATGTAGTCACCCTTAGCCCAGAAGTTGACGTAGATGGAGTTAAGGACAACAAGAAGCGGGAAACGCCAGCTGATACCGTCAACGATGACGCCCTTGCCCGCAGTAGTGAATTGGTAGATGATAGTGCCGAGAAGCAACAGGTGAATGAGCGACCAGATCAAGAACGCCCATGGTGCGGGGGTGATGTAGGTCTCCTTCCCACCGTAGTGAGTGGCCCCAGAGGCGACAGTGTAGATGTTGGACCCCAAGAAGAGGAAGTAAACGAGAACGTTCACAACCTGTGTGAGGATCAATAACAACGCGACAGTTGTCAATAGTGAAACATGCCTTGAGGAAGATTCCTGTGAAAGACACAAGGAATTAGTTCATTCAGTAAGGAGAGGAAGATGTTAGGCGCACCGTCTTTCCAGGTATCAGCCATTGAGCAGGAGTTTGTGGGAGAGGGGAAGGTGCGGTTGGAGCGGTGCTGAACTGCGGGTTTTATATAGACACGGGGCTCACGTCACAGTCCAGATCTGGCGTCATGCACGCAAAATGGTGCAATTGCGGGGCACCCATCCGCCGACTTAGCGCGCTGATCTCCCAATGTACACGGACCGATGACCCCAGCCAAAACGACTCTTTCCAACTCGCGGACCTGCTCGTCATCTCATACATTCCACACCCACGTTCCCCTGTTAAAGAGACCATCCGCCGGATCCACCAATCCCCGTGACATGAGCATTGCAGGGGCGCTGTTCTTCGGATCCGAGACGGAACACGGAGCTTAAACTTCTGCGCAACTTCTGCGCCTCGGGCAACTCACTCCATGGCGCGTCGTACTTGCGGCGTTACGGCCCAATTCAACAATGTGCACTGCATCATACGTCATATCTTATGCCTGTTGCTTGGCTTGTGTCCGTGACGTGACCCTGTGACCCTTGGCGTAAGCAGTGCCACCGCTCGGCCCGACCTAAATTGCTCACTCCAAAGGTTTCGCTACCCAACCCATCCTCTCTTGATGCCACCTACCCCTTCGCTGGGCCCGCACTCCTCCCGCCTCATATACACGCTATTCGCTCTCCTCCACTCGAGCCTCAACCCTTACTCTTCTTCTGGCCGAACCCATGTCCATTCCAAACGAGCAACGACATTCAATCCTCATTCTGTGCGCGCCCATGTTCTTGCTAAGGATTGTCGTCTGACCTGGGACTCACAGCCCAAGGACATCGTTTTCGCATGCCTCATTGTACTTGCCTCTTTCTCGGTAGCCTATTACCTCGCTGACGTTCGTAAAGCCGGTCCTCGTCCTCCTGTCAGGTGTCTTCGCCGGATTGACTCTCGGGTACATGAGTTTGGATCAAACGCAACTCAATGTGCTTTGTCTGAGTGGTACTCCGTGAGTTGTACTACTTCGTCGTCGCGCTCCCGTCACGACTGCGACTATAGTGAACAGCGTAAATATGCTCAGAAAATCTTGCCCATCCGCAAGAATGGTCACCTACTGCTGGTGACACTGCTGCTCGCCAACATGATCGTGAACGAGACGCTCCCCATTATCAGCGATCCGGTCCTTGGTGGCGGAGTCCAGTCCGTCGTTGTCAGCACGGTACTCATCATCATATTTTCGGAAATCATCCCGCAGTCGCTCTTCACCCGCTACGGCCTCTATCTTGGAGCAAAGGCAGCGCCATTTACGCAGTTACTCATCTATGCCTTGGTATGCCACGGCCGTGATGTTCTGCAAGTCTTGAGTCTGACTGTTCACAGGGAGTCATCTCGTGGCCAGTGGCCAAGCTACTCGAGTTTGTGCTTGGCTCACATCACGGCATCATCTATCGCCGTGCCGAGCTGAAGGAGCTCATCGCCATGCATTCGGCTCAGGAACATCACGGAGGCGATTTGAAAATGGACACTGTGGCTATTATCGGAGCCACCCTTGACTTGCAGGAAAAGATCGTCCGAGATGTTTGTGTTCTTCTTGGTCTTGTGAACTGCAGTTGAGCTTTGACCAGGCTATGACTCCTATCGAGAATGTGTTCATGCTCTCGATTGACGCTCGTCTCGACTATGATCTCATGAAGAAAATTGTCGCGTCTGGCCACAGTCGCATTCCTGTCTTCGAAGAGATCGACGCGCCCGCTTCAGTGCGCGTAGCGAACAGCAGTGTTACCAAAGTGAAGAAGATTCTTGGTATTCTTCTCGTAAAGCAACTGGTGCTCATCGACCCCAAGGGTAAGTGACACGGCTGCTCACGCGATTTGTTCAGTTCACCAACTGATCGTTTTTCCCAGAGGCTCCTCCAATCCACACAATTCCATTGAACACTGTTCCCTTCGTCTACAACAATCAGACGCTTCTCGGTATCCTAGACAAGTTCCAGGAAGGGCGCTCCCATATTGCCATTGTCAGTCGTTACAGCGTGGAAAAGGTGCAGAAGGTACAGAAGGAGGTCAAGCGAGGCCTCACTCAGCGTTTGCGCGAGAAGGTTGGAATGGGCGACGATTCTGACGACGAGGCAGAAGAGACTGAGAAGAAAAAAGACACTCAGACGACCGATGTCGAGAGTGGCAGTTCTGACGACAACGAAGAGGGCGACGTTGTGATCAGAGACTATGGTGCTGATCCCCTGTCCGGAGTGCCTGTGAAACCGCCTAGTGGATCGAGCTGGACCGGATCGTCTGGATTGGAGCAAAGCATGCCCGCGGATGCCGCTCTCAACATTGCGGATATGGACCAGTTCTTCGCTGGATTGGACACCTCTGTCATGCCGGTTGGAATCATCACACTCGAAGATGTCTTAGAGGGTACGTTGTCGCGCGTCGTTGGGGATTGCGTCTCTAACTGGAGTCCCCAGAACTCATCGGCGAAGAGATATTCGACGAATTCGATGCGGATGGTGCGAAAGGAACTTACGTTCACCACCGCAAGCATCTCGTGCCTAGCCACCACGGTTCTCCCGCTCTCGGCGCTCTTGCGGCCAACGAAAGACCGCCTGCAGTGGGGACCCCTACCGGCGGCTTGCGCACGCTCAACTTCTTGCGGTCTCGCAGTGTTCCGCCTTCGCAACGGGACCCTGGCGATGGCAAATCCGCTGAGCCCCAAGCGCAGTCCAAGCCTGCGTTGAAGGATGGACGCGAGCTCGAGCCGGAAGTACACACAGCCGAGGTGCCCAAAGATGCCGCGCCCGGCCCAGATATGCCTCTCGAGGCAGTTCTTCGGGCTGGAATGGGCCGCCGTGGTCGTGTTGCAGCGGCTGGGTCGAGCGGGCCCCGCGGTCGATTCAAGAGCAGCCCTCTAGATGCTGGTAAGGGCGTTGAAACCGCCGGCCTAGCTGTTGAAGATCCCCAAGAATCCAAACCGCCTGAACAGTCTTGACCATGTAGCACCCTGGTGTATTTGTAGCTTTTATTGCAGTCCTCGTTATAATGTCCGATGCAACTAGATCGTCATTAGGCCTGGTATGCCGGCGCAACAGGATATGGGCTATGTGAATCCGAGGATGTGTCTACCTAGATTTCGATGCGCGGTCCACTCTTTATTCACACGTTGTAGATCAAAGTTCGAGTTCCTCTATGCCGATGAGGCGCACAGGCAGATACTATTGATGCCAACGCTACGGGAAAAGCACAACGCAACCGATCGGACTTTGAAATGTCACGCTCATCCACTTTTTCTTCAGTTCTCCACAACCACGCACCGGCAAGACAAGGAAGAAGTTGGAGCACTTTTAGAATACATAAGGTATGTCTCCTACAAAGTACCAGAGCCTCGCACGAGGAGGAACTTGCGCTGTAAAGTCATCTTGGGTTTGGGGCCTTGAAATGATGGACCGGCTCTTGTTTTTTATGTGGTTCCCGTTCATGTATAAGTGAGAAATCTTGTATATAAGGGTTTTCGAATGGTAGCTACAAGTTCCGGATGATACCGGAGGCAACTTCGAAGGAGGGAAAGAGAGATCAGCAATTTCCCGTTGCGTTGTGCTTTTCCCGTAGCGTTGGCATCAATAGTACAGGCTTGCGCCATTCCCTCGGAGAAGCGTTTACACAGAGTGCCAGTTTCTCACACAGTCGTATAGGAAGCGGATACGAGCGCACACGCCCTTCGGCTTGTACCACAGTTCCCCGTAGAAGCCCAGGCGCTCATATCCCATGTTCCTCAATTTGGCGGATGTGTGTTTGAAAAAAGGTCCTGTGCCCATCGAACCATGAGAAGATCAGCACGAATACATGCCGAAACGTACAATACGTACTCGTCCAGTGAAATTATTGCTGTGCGGAACATGAGAAAACCCAGGCCTTCACCATGGTGACAGACTGCAGTCTCGATGACACCTCGAGCAGGAAAGAAGAAAAAATCAATCTGCGGCAGCAGTGTCTCTCCTCCACCGCTCTGTACGACGCAAGGTGTCGGCCCGTTGGTGAGAATCGCACTGCTGCATTCACCCCAGATCAAACAGGGCCGTGGGCCACAAATTCAGTCCATCATCCGAGTCGTCGTTGCGATAGTCGTCGTCGTCGTCGTCCCTGGTGCGAAAAGGGTTTGCGGAGAACGCGATATTAAGAATCTGTTCCTTGTACTCGCGTGCTCCAAACTTCCTGCTGACACACTGGAGATAATGCCATCGGAACAGGCCGGGATCAGGTTGAGGAAAGGCAGTCGCCAGGACTGGGGGTGGGGTAATCATGTGCCCGTGAAGCAGGGGCAGGCTCGAGGAGATGGGGGTCGAGTGTCCCATGAGGTCGAAGCTTCCCAGAAGATCATCTTGCTCAAGAAAAAGATGCGCTTGGTATTGCTTTGGAGAGGGTCATATCGCAAGCAGGTATTCAGAACAGAACTCACAGTATCATTGACCCGGCGAAAACCCAGTTCGTAGATGTTGAAATGAACGTCTAGACTGACAGCAAGGGCTATGCCATATACCGGGTCGAAGACGCCGGTATACCCGGTAGTTCCACAGAACTGGCTGCGAATGAAGGAGGCCTGATGATCTCCCATTCGCTTCGGGACAATGTGACTGTTGACCAGGGCGCGGGCATAGCGTTCCTGAGAAATCCAGCACTGACCGTTGCGGTCCAGAACACCCCCTCGCATCTTCGCTGCACCATCATGACGAGATGTTAAGGAGCGCATCTCCCGGCGACTGAACTTCGAGAGGCACAGGTTCGCTCCCGTCGGTGGACGGTATTCATAAACAGCAGGCTGGATTTCATCTCCAGATTCGGCCTGGCGCCAAGATCGGTCGGCGAAGCCTTGGACCCACAAGACCCCGGCTTTGCCGACAGGATCACAGATATCGTGCGCCATATCAATAAGCCAGCTGGTCTTTTCCAAGAGCGAGTACTGTCTCACTACTCCGACCTCGCCCCGAAGGAGAACCAGAGGAGAGGGACAGAATTTGTAGGGAGGCCCGCTGTGAAAGCGATCTGGACTTCCACGTCGGACGAAATTGGATTAGGCGGGGGTGGGTACATCAAGACAACTCCTGCAGGAACAACGAGCTTAAATTGACCGATTGCAGGAGTTGCGGCAGCGGGAGGTGTTTCGGAGGGGTCATGGTCTGGACCTTGGCTTCCAAACGCGGTGGACGTGAGGAACAATTGAAATGGTCGCTCGCCGGCAGCCGCGACGACCCCGCAACAGGGGTGGAACCGTCACTTGAAGTGCAATTTCGTCACGTGGGGATCTCCCATCAAGAATACGGCTCTACGAGTCAGCCACCTCTGGTCCTATGCGTTTGTCCTTCGCGCTCGCGACAGGATCTCCACCACAACGTGATCCAAAATTTACACGACTTTTGCCAATTCTGCAAGATCGACGGCTCTATAGCACAAACTACACTCGATGCAGGGTAGATTACAGATACTCGCAACTTTCATACAGCTCCATTCGCCCATCGTCCTAATACACGGTCTGCTTCGCCAACACACTGGTACGGATTCACGTCCGATAACAATATGGTCGCGAACATCCCTCTCGGTGGCTTAAGTTTCAGAAGATACCCAAGAATCTAATGCGCCAGAACAGCCTTGACCATGGGGCACTTTGGTATACTTGTAGTTCTTTATTGCAGTCCTCGTTTCAGTTCTCGATATAGCTAGATCGAAATTGGGCCTGGTATGCGGGTGGAACAGGATATGGGGGTGGGACTGGGTATGGTGGAGGGTAGGGATGTGTGGCCGCGTGGACTTCGGGTGGCTCCACTACCAACGGGTGATTCTCTGCGGGATCCAGGCTATCATGGGTACTGGGGGGACGCGATGTCGAGTCGGGTACTGCTATCGATTCACGCGGTGGTTTTGGCTTGGAGATCTTGTCCCAAAGACGGGAGCAAAGATAGACCAAGCTCACAAGCCCGGCCCCGCCTGCACTCCGCGGAATGTCAACTGGGCTCATATCGTATAATCGTTGAAACTCGCCTAAGATGATGCAGATGACTATCAAATTGCCCCGCGTCAGAGGGCATGTGGTCGGCTTCCCACTGGACACGCCCGTGAAGATCAATGAATCGGAGACTGAGGGGCACGTACTGGCTGTTATAACACCGTCTGGGGGAGCGCTGGATGTTGTGGGATAGCAGGAGGGAAGGCATGACCAGAGCTGAATCATAGTCCCATGCGCTGCTTCCTTGTTATGATATGCACTTTCACCCCGACGTATGTGGATACATACCTGGATTTCGATGCACCACCAAGGCTGTGCATGTCAAATCTGCACTCGCATGCTGGAGTCTGGAGACGGCAGTGTTGATTGCCGCTCATGCAGACGTCCCATCGATGTTGCACAGGAAGCGGAGATGAGCGCACACGCCTTCCAGCTTGTTGCACAGGTTTTGTGGGAAAGCTTGTACTCCGAGTGTGGAGTTTGCATGAGGATCAGGATCACTTGCTCATCGAGATTCATGTGAAAAAAAAAACCGTTTTTCGACTCACTTTCAGTCCATCCCGAACTCTAGCCATGAAAGGTTGCCAAAGGCCTCATTCTGAGCGGGGCATCTTTCGCTATCCGCGATCCATTCGTCATTTGTGCGTGAGTCAAGCGCCTGCCAGTCGAAATGGTGATGAGTCCTTTCTATTTCAGTGTGAGAAAATGCATGCCACAGCCAATGGCACTCTAGAATGCATCCGTGTCCTTATGTACTGCCAACTGGGTGCTGTGCCAAATGCTAAGATTCGATGAGCCGGGGTGCAAAATCTTGTAGCGGTGCTCACATTAGAGTTTGAGCCATTTGAGGGCTGGGGGGAGTTGCCCCTGCAGGCGCGCAGCTGGCCGACTTTGAGCTTGATTTGAACCTATCCATACTGAATGCCTCACATCAATATGACATAAGAGAAAAAGAATCCCTTTGCCGTCGGGCGGCTCATCGAAAGGTGGGGAAGGAGAGGACGTGCATCTGCCTCCGCTAACAAGGGATATCCGTCGTCAAGATCCCACAAGTGGTCTCTGCACCAAGCAAGGAGAACATCCGGAACTTGCCCGACCTGGGTGCGTAAGAGGACGAGAACTGAATCGTAGGCATTGGATTTCGAAGACCAGGAGACTCCGCAAGGGAAGAGAGCAAACTGAAAGCTCACGACACTTGGCTCGGGTAGACATGCAGTGATCAACTCTCATCAAATCCACGACGTCATGCTCCGACTTGGAATCGGGTTGGCATTGCAGTGCAGCCTGGTAGGTAGTTAGGTAGATTACTGGCGAGGTCCAGACGAGGATGATACAACACAGAGTTAGAGTATTCCAGGTAACTCCTCAGAGTGCCAATGCATCTTCTCGAAAAGGCCCCAGCAAAGGGTTACAATTTTTTGTCGCATCCAGTCCCCGAGTACAGCCTCCATGTCATTCTCGGGCTCAGAAGCACTGTTTCAGCATTGATAAACTCCATTAATCAAACGGAGTTTGGCGCGTGCACGCACCTTGCAGCCTGTCCTGTCGAAGCTGATAGACTATGCTTCTCGATGGAGTGTAAGACGTTCGTGCCATAGATTTGAGGTCACTTGCTTATTATCATACTCGGACTCGGTCCAAGTTCCAAACGGCAGCAACTATATTTGTCAGCCAGCGATACCCTGCGCCGCGCGTCTTTCGTTATATGCGATGATCTCGTTGATTTGTTGGTTCGTCAAGCGCCCGCCAGTCGAAATGCCAATTTCTTTCTGATTTCCGTTAAACGCCGGACACAATAATCGATTACGCACATGCCGTGGTCCACTACATTCATGGCTGTGCGGAACTAGGTCCGCTCAATTCTTGGTTCATGAACCGGGTTCACGAGGTTTTGATGAACCCGACAGGTCCTGACAGTTGCCATCACGCTTAACGGAAATGGACTGGTGGCCAGCAGAGACATCCCCTTTTAGGACGGAGGGCACGACACTGCAAGGCTGAACTTTATCCAAGACGGTTCGTATCATGTAGAGAAAGGACAGGGAAATATTTCAGGATACTTGAAGGTCCATTTTGGACCATAAGTATATATTCCTTTCAACTACTTACAACAATTGGAATGAATCACTGCCTGAGAAAAAATGTCGGCTCATACAGCCAGGGAGTCGAGTAAAATGCAGGCTTGCTCAGTACGATTATCGATGTGGTCCAACACTGCAAGATCGTACCCGTTTGTCCTCAAGCGACGACATCGCCGCTGGTCATCAATCTATTGTCCATTTCCGTTAAGCGTGATGGCAACTGTCAGGACCTGTCGGGTTCATCAAAACCTCGTGAACCCGGTTCATGAACCAAGAATTGAGCGGACCTACTTGCATCAGAGCAGCAACCCGGTGCTCACGATAGGATGCTGTTCAAGTTGAATTGAGAATCCCGCGGTGACTGCAGCCTCGATGCATCTTGGCTTGGATGCGAGACACTTCGAGGAAGCAATATCGACTCTTCACCACTTTACCACGTATCGACTCGTTCCTGGAGATCACACCACTGCATTTGCACAGATCGAACGGGGCTATGAAACATAAATTTAGTCCATTCTCTGGATCGTATGCTCGTCGTACTTATCGTACTCGTCGAGATTGTTTCTGGGGTGAAATGCGTTTCCTTGGCTCCAAACTTCCGAATCACATATTGAAGATGATACCGCCAGGATAGATTAGGATCAGATGAACGACGGACAGTCGCTAGAACTAGGGTTGGGCTCATTATACGCTCATAGACCACGAGGAGAAGGCGCGCCGACGTCCCATCGAGTCAACTCTTCGTGGAAGATCATCTTGATCCAGCAAGAGATGTACTGGGCATTTCTTGAGAGGGAGGATCAGGAGATAAACAGATATATAGAACGGATTACACAGAACCACTGACCCGGCAAAAAATCCACTTCGTAGATGCCCAGTGCACGTCTAGATTGGTGGCTTGCGGCATGCCATATACCGGATCAAAGACGCACGTATGCTTGGTAGTTTCATCGCACTGCATTCGATTGAAGAAGGTCCGAGGATCTCATGGGGGCAATGTAAGGATTCATTACGGCACGGGACCAGCGTTTTTTGAGAAATCCAGCACTGGCCGTCCCGAACTGGAACGCTTCTTCGCATCCCTGCTGCATCGTCATGAACCGGTACCAAAGAACTCATCTCCCGGCGACTGAAAATTTCGGCAGGCATGCATCCGATCCCATCGGAGGGAGGTATTCATAAGTAGATGGTAGGGTGGATTTGGTCTGCAGGCTGGGCGCGGCACTAAAGCTCGTCAACCTTGGAGACACCGGCTTTGAGCCCATAAGACCCCAGATGATGTGCACCATGTCGATAAGCAAAGCCGATCTCTTCTCGGAGCGAGTACTTTCGAATTACTCGGACCTTGGCCCAGAGAATAACGAGAGCAGCATTTGTCGGAGGCTGCGCTGTGAAAGCGGCCTGCGCATTCGTGTTTGACGGATCGGATGGGGCGGGGTAGAGAAGCTCAAGAAAAAGCCAGCGAGAAAGGAGTCAAAATCGACCGAGTGTAGGAGTTGTGGGAGTGAGTGGCTTTGGAGGTGACCGGGACCTACACCAAGTTGACTGCGAATGGCGGCAGACATGAGGGACTTCGGACGCAGCGAGGAGACACTTCTTCTGGAGGCATACACTACGAAGAAAGCCATACTGGATACGAAATTGATGCAGAGTGACGGCAATCGCACGAGGGCAAAGGCTGGACGCTGCAGCACAGTGCCTCGATATTGCGAACTTGACATCACGTGATAAGATATCCCAGCCATCCGTGCGACTAAACCGTCAACGGCACATAGTGCACACTCAGTCGCCCCGGGAGGGTTCAGTCTATGCGTCTCGTACTTCGTGCCCAAAGAATGATTTCCACCTTACCTTATGACTCCTGGTCCAAAGAAGAGTTGATCGCCAAACTCCGCCTTCTCGAGAGCGATGCCACTGGACGCCCAGCCTCACCTAGGCCACTGCCGCCTCCCTCTCTTAAGCTACGCAAGCCATTCGATTTTGCGGCGCATCCGCGCCGGAAGATCGCGCTCAAATTCTCGTACGCGGGCTGGGCGTACAACGGCCTGTCCATCCAGTCTGACGCGACACCCCTGCCGACGGTCGAGGGCGTTCTGTTCGACGCGCTCGCGAAGGCGCGTCTCGTGGATCCTGCCGCGGGGATGGAAGGGTGTGGGTGGGAACGGTGCGGGCGGACGGATCGGGGCGTCAGTGCGGCGGGGCAGGTCGTGTCGCTTTGGGTGCGCAGTGCCTTGGGCAGGGATACATTGGATTCTGCGGACTCAGCTGCACGAGACGGTGAGAATCCCAAGTCAGTGAACCAATTTCCACCAGAAGACTTTTCCGATGGACTGCTTGACGCGGCTCCTGCGCGCAAGACAATAGACGCACCAGAGAGGGAGCACAGCTACGCGTTGATGCTGAACCGGATCCTCCCCCATACTATCCGCATCCTAGCTTGGTCGCCCGTAGCGGACTCCTTCTCATCGCGTTACTCCTGCATCTCGCGCCACTACAAGTACTTCTTCTCACCCGAGCATCTCGACGTGACACGCATGGCGGAGGCGGCAGGCATGCTGGTTGGATTGCACGACTTTCGCAATTTCTGCAAAATCGACGGATCAAAACAAATCACTCTGTACAAGAGGCGCGTGCTCAGTGCGTCTATAAATCAACATGACCGCATGCTCGTATTCGATCTCATCGGGACGGCATTTCTCTATCATCAAGTGCGACACATCATGGCGGTGCTCTTCCTGGTGGGATCAGGGCTTGAACAGCCTAATGTTGCCAAAGCCATGCTCAACGTCGATGGAGAGGGAGATGCCCGAGTGGAGACGAAACCGGAATACCAAATGGCGGACAGTCTGCCTTTGGTTTTGTACGAATGCCACTATGCTTCGAACGACGTCTCCTGGCATACAGACCGAGAGCCCGAGCAGACAGAAGGCTTATGGCACAGGCTGCACTCGATACAGGGCAGATCACAGATGTACGCGACCTTGAATTCGGCCTTCCACGCAGCTGCATGCGCCCACCATCCTGCTCCACGACCTGTTCTACCAACACACTGGCACGGCTTCACGCCGGATAATAAGACGGTCATGAACATCCCTCTCGGCGGCTCTGAATTCAGGCGCACGGCAAAGTACATTCCCTTGCTGAAACGCCCTCGCGGCGAGCACTTTGATGTCGTCAACGAACGGTGGAGATCGTCTAGGGTTCACAAAGATTCCGAACAACAGTAATTCGAAGAGACCTGTCTCTGACGGGTCTCGGACGACACGGATGTAACAATACTGCAGGCGATGAAAGACTCCAAAAGTCTCTACCTGAACTCATGGGTGCCGAAACACTGCGCCTAATTGCTCCAACTTGCGCTTTTCTGGCGTCTCTCGTCCAGCATACGAAGCAAGGGCTGAGAGAGCTCCCTGTCTAGCAGCCAAGAGATGGAATATCATTCTTCGGGCTGGAATCGCCGGAGGCTGAGCTTTGAGCCACGCCTTGCCCCGCAGAGTCCCAGAACTTTCGTGGTGTTTCTTGAGGAATCCGTTTCCGGCAGGCACAGGGGGCTTCTCGTAGGCCGGTAACTTGCTCTCAGGCAGATCCCAGGAGCGAGGCTGGAATATCCCGAGCAGGATCTTGGTCGCAGTAGACAGTCGACGAAGCCTGAGCGCATCAGAACCAAAGCAAGACCAAGATGGGGCAGCTGTACCTCTGGAAGTTTCCTCCATCGGTTGTCAGAATACGTATCTCTCGATATCTTCGCACTCACTGTCAACCAATGCACTATGCAGCTTCACAAGGAAGTAGGCTGTCGCAAGCCACATCGCAGGAAACCGACCAATAGCATGCTCAACAAAGCGATCGAGGGCTTTGGTGATCCAGAAGCTGCTCAGACCGACACCCACCCCTATCCCGAAACCCCCGATGATAGTCTTGAATTGCGACTGGGACTCTTCCTCACCGGGTGGCGGCAAACGCGAGCCTAGCGCTGCGAATATGTACGCAGGAAGATATGTGATGAATGAAGGCACGAATAGGAGGAAAGAAGGATGAACCAGCGTTCTAACCACCGTGAAAATGAATCGGAATGCAAAAGCACGCGACGGGCGACCTGAAGCAGTAGGAACGAGAGAATCAAGATCTGCATGACTTATACCAATGCGGTGAAGCAGCGAAAAGTATCGAGTCAAGGCATGCTTGACTTCTGGTAAGCCTTCATATTCAGAAGATAGAAAACCGATCAGTCTGAACGAGCAGTCAGCATAAATCGAGGCGGGGAGGTGCCTGCGAACGTTTGGTTGACGATGATCCAGTCTTTGAGTGGTATCGCTCCCTCATCTTTCCAGAGAATGTTTCGGGCTATTCGGGCAGAATATAAGGTCTCCCTGAGACGCGTGAGCAAATGGATACGGAGCGGTTCATCAGAGAGGGGGGACGAACCAGTCTGGCGCGTTGATGGTCATCTGTACGATTTGATCCTCAATGTCTTTCATCAGTGCCTTCACTGCAGCGCGTTCGGCTTGCGCATCCGGAGGCGCCTCGAAAAGTTCTGCTGGCATACACCTGGTCACGTCGATGGGGACGCCGTATCTAAATGGGAGTACCATGAGGCTTGATTGTCGTAATCAGTCCAGACGACGCACCTGACACAGACCTGGGTGTATCCATCAGGCCATGAACCTAAGAGTGCAGGGGTAAACTCACTCGGCTTCGGTACTTTGACTTGTCCGTGTACACTATCCCCACGGGCACGACGATGACCGGCTCCATCTTTCCCACTCCATTTTGAGCGCGCATGAACTCAAGCGCAGCCCATCCCGCGCCGCTGAGAATTTGCATAATTGCCGGCTCCGTGTAACTCGTGCCCTCAGGGAATATCCCGATGACCTGTCTCCGCCCCAGCGCAGCGGTAGAGGCATCGAACAGGTCTGCATTCGACGCCGCCGCGTCGGCTTTGTCTGGGTTGCGTCGGACGGGTATGGCGCCGGAGGACGTCAGAATGGGGCCCAGAACGGGGTGTTTGAACATAGTCGATTTAGCCCAGAAGGACACCATACGGCGATGCGGAATCGTTGCGGCTGATGCGGGTTGAGTAGAGGTAACTCCAGCGGGACAGGATGAACGTACCCAGCGTCGCGATGTCGATAAGCTCGTTGTGGTGACATGGCGTTCTGGGCTAGCGTGAGTGCGATTCGCGTTGCAGTGTGTGCGGGCCACCAACACGATGAGGGGCACGCCTCGCAAGGCATCAGGATCCTTGCCAGCGTCAACGTGGACTTCAGAGTAGTAGCCCACAAGCGCCCAGTCGGATAATTGTCTCAAAACCCGGTATACCAGTCGGAGTTCCATCAAGTGGCCAGACAAGCGTAATCGCGATCACATGATTTCGACAGGGTGCTCTCACTTCATTCGACTCGATAGCCGAGTATTGTGTGCTCTGATCGGTGAGCGAACATGCGCATATGAATGAAAATCGTATTGATAGCCCACAGATAAATGAGACTGTACTGTACTGGAATACAACCACGATAGGTGAAAAAAGAATAAGGAAAAGATAGTCAATGACCAGACGCGATATCAGCAAGCTCGTCTTCGAGCCACTCCACGATCACGGCTGGGGAAGTGCTTTCTCGTCGCATGATATGGAGAACGCGCTGGCCAACGGCCGAAGCGCATTCTTCGGCACGTCCGAATCCCGACAAACACGCCTTCTTATAATCTTCCTCGGCGAGGCCGAGCATGTCAGCGACGGACCGACCGGAGTGCACATGCAGCAGCACGCAAAGCGCGACCAAAGTCGGCAGCTCCTCGGTAAGAGCATCTAGCTGCTCTTCCGGCAAGTTCGGATTCGCCTGCACTGCATCGAAGAAGGGCGCAAACGCCTTCAGTCCCTCGAACGCCTCCTCGATGGCCTCGTTCGCCACCCGCGCACTCTCGGATTTGCTCACAGGCCGCGGCAGTGTCGACAAGAGCTCATACAGAGCCCGTGCATCGGCAGCAGCTGACGCCGGCAAGGCCGCAGACGGCGGAGACGGCGGACGCGACGGCGGAAGCTTGATTGTGAATCTGGCAGATGGAGGCGTCACAGGGGGTGTGATCGATGGTGAGTGTCCCTGATGAACAGGAAGCAGGTTTGGCGACGGTGGAGACAAAGCACCGATGGGTCGGCTGGCCAATGCCACCAAGCCTCGCCAAACAACAGAAATCACAAATGGCGCCAGCAGAGCCTGAGCACACCGCGAGGCAGAATATCGGGTCAATGCTCGAGCGTAAACCGGCATCACGGACGTGAGAACCACGATAGAAGGGTGAAGGACCGGTGCATTCTTGGCACCGGCCGCCATCTTGGGGCTATTGGGTGTTTCCAAAGCATCAAGCAGAAGCATCATTTCGTGCTTGATTCCGGCCACCAGCGGACTGACCACACGGTTGACGATGGAGACGAGACCCTCCCGAATCACTTTCAGCCCATCGCCGCGAGCGTCTCCGTCCAATCCGAGCCCCAGATCATCGAAAACCTCGAGGACTTCTCCAGCAAATCCAGCGACAGATAGCGCATGCAGCTGAGTCGCATTGGGAGCCGCCGCTTGCAACGTCGGAGCTGGGGGAGAAAGAAACGCAGGCGAAGAGATGATAGGCAAAAGATGCGCAGAGAGGTTCGACAGTAGAACCGATAGCGGTCGAAGCAAGGATCGGATAATGGCTCGATTGAGGTGTGGATTATCACGCGTGGCACCCAGCTCTCTAGAACGTCCGACGGCGTTAAGCACAGATAACAGTGCACATCAAAGAAGACCAGACGCACGCTGAGATAAACGATCCAAGCGCACGACCTCGTCCCGTAGGAATCGGTCGCTTCCCATTGACTGCATCATTGGTGCCGAGAGGCCCCACTGGATTGGCGAGCGCCTTAGAGACCGCTTCGCTCAGCTTCAGGGCCAGAGTCTCGAGATATGATCCGTCCTGTACCAGAGGGACAGGCGCTGGGGTCGGAGGAGGGCCAGAGGCAGGGGAGGGGCGTCGGAAGTTGCTCAGTGACGATAACTTCGTCAAAGGACGTGCGGCGCGCTCCATCGACTCGGACCTCGGATTTGAGGCTGCTGGCGGCGCAGGGGACGACGGCCGGCTGGTCGGCCGAAGGAAAGAGGGTGCTTTAATAGCGTTGATCATCGTGGTTGGTTGAGGGGGATAGATAGATATGTTTCGAGTGTGAATGGGTTGGGAAGTATGGGTTCCAGAGGTTTCTAAGGAGGTTAACGTCTATGTTTTCAGCAGTGGCGAGTGAGGTGCAATTATCCCATCAGTCAGAGAGGCAACGAAGGGATGCAAGGGGTGGGATTTTAAGGAGGACGGTCTGTGCTGAGGAGGGGGCAGGCAAGTGGGCCGAAGAGAATGTTGTTAATCTGTTGTGTCAGGCTTTGAATCGCCGTCAGATGAGGTTCTGCGGACAACGTGAAGAACCCACCAGGGTAGAGGGCGGCGATTCATAGATTGAGGGACGTCAGTGCTGGCTTGAAGCAACCGAGACCGTGACGGTAAAAAATGAAGATAGCTCCGCTTTTAGACAGGTTGCCAAATAGCGACCCACTGGCACAAGTCCCGCTAAATAGCGCTGATGGCATGCCGACACTGACCAGTTGTGACTGATATAGCGATTAGAACTGACGGTCTCCGTTGGCTTGACTTGGCGGGCGCAGGTACGTATGACTATAGCAGAGCAATATACAAGTCTACTCGAGTAAACGCTTGACCCGGACCCGGAGCTGCGCATCTCCACTACGAAAGCGCCACAAACATCCACCTTCCTCACTTGCTTTCAGCCGCAATGCGCCGATCGGCTGACTTCCAGAGTCTCCATTCATGAGAACCTTGACCTCGCCTGCCAAGACATAAGAACAGTTCGAGATGCAGAAGTCTACTTGCCTAGGAACGGGGCTGTCTCGGCAGGGATGACTAGAATATCAAGGCTTTCCAGACGCTTATTCACGTCCTCGAGCGAGAGATCACACCAGCCCCGAGCGCTGCTAGACTCATCCAACGAATCCCAGAAATTAGCAAAATCAGGCGTGTCAGGATCGGAGGCGAAAGGCGAATCATGAAATGCGATTAGATCTGTTGCCATCCGAAGTTCTGTAGGCTGCGGCGTGGCAGCCAAGTCTCCTGCAGTTGGGGAGTTTCGAGGGCCTGATGAGCTGGCTGAGCGTGAAGAGCTCTTGGCAAGATCGGGGCGGTCCCTGAGCCGAGGTGTAGTCTTCGGGGCTTCGTAAGCCTCGTATCTCAGTCTGTTCTTTGGAAGGCTAGCCGGTTTCGATACCGACGCCGGTTTGTCCTCGGACGTCGGTGCAGCTCGATTCTCATATGCGATAAGTGCTTCGAGAAAATCTGGCAACTGGCGACACCGGTAAGCAATGGCTAAAAGCACGGATAGGTCTTTTACCGCAGATGAGTTTGCGCTTCGAACGATCTCGGCCAAATCGTCTTTGCGGCTAGAGAGTGAAATAAACTCTGCACACCGCTTGGCTGGACTTTAGACGTTGCCAAGCACAGGGAGAAGACACACAAACCCGTCGGATATGGCGACTGCACTGTTTGGCCAGACCACCGACGCCGTCCAGAACTTCAGAAGGCATTCGCTCGCAGTCTGCAGACAATCGCATCATTGCCAAGAGACAAGCGTCCTGAACCGCAGCTAGAAGGGTGCTGAGGAGCACGCATGGAAGTAAGCACTGCGATTCTTACGGATGCAGGAAGAAAGCCGTGTCGAAATCCCACTTAGAATTTCAATTGCAGGAACCACCAACGCCCCTGCATACTCTGTCGACAGTGCAGACAAGATCACCATCATGGTCTGGCCGAAGTACTTCTCGAGATCGGCGCAGGAGGTCAACAGCGCAGTGGCGCAACCAATCTGATACGGGGTGGAAGCTGGAAGATATGTCTCAGCAAACGAAAACATTTCACTGGAGTGACTGACCAGCCCTGATATGGGATAGAACTCCTTCCACAGCGGACTCGATAACAATCTGAGCATAAGCAGGAGATCGAGCCTCCATTTGCGTGAACAAGTCGATCAGCAATCGGGCATAGAGTTCCCCATCTCCATCCGTTTGCGTTTCTATAATCTGAAGAAAACGGGCGGCATAGTTTGAGAGCATATTCGCCGGCAGATCGATGGGCAAAGTCTGTAGACATCGAAGATAATACGAGTTGATGATATTCTCGTCAATGGTATTCAGTATCCTCAAAGTCTAGGGAAACAGTCAGTTATCTGGGGATACGAGAGATGATTCAGAACCTTCTGTCGGATAGCTGGGTCTGGAGAGTCAAGCAAGGCCATCACTCTTCCAACCTCCCATTCATCGAATGCCGCAGGCGAATCGGGCTCACTTCCGGACCAAAGACTCGGGGGTAAGCACGTCAGACACGAAAGAAATATGTAGTGATCAGTCACGCTCTGTGAATTGAGCAACGCCCGGATGTTAGAAATAGGGGAAAGTTTCTCCGACGTCTGAGCTTTCAACAGGCTGGCCGGATCTCTCCCGGAGAGATTGAGGAAAGCTCCGCACATGACAGCTACCTAAAATCAGCAATCTATGAGAACGTTCATTGTGGGGGGACTGACGATGGTCCCCAGACACTGATGTCTGATGGATGATTTCCAGCACGAGCCCAAGATTGACTTCGTCCAGCCTCAAGATCAGCATTAGAATTATAATATACATGAGAAATGGGTTTGCGCACCCAAACTTGCGTAGCAAGTGCAGTGTCTGCAACAGATTGCATCGAACCGACTGCCGACCGACATCCTCCCAGAACGACTTGAGCAGCTCGTTCAGGACACCGCGCAGATCTTCTCCCGCCGATGCGTCATTCTGCTACCGGGGTCAAAACAACTCAGGAAATACAGAAGCACCCCACCTCGTGAAGCTTCGCAGACACATTCAGAGCGGCGCACACAACCGCAGGATCGGGATCACGCAGCCGCTTGAGCACCTTGCTCCTGATGCTTTTCAGGATTTCTGGCTCGAAACGCGCAAGAGCAGCGGAGGCGGCGAGTGCCCTGCGTCGGATGTGCGGCCTGTTTCGTTTCAGACCAAGTCAGTTTCTCCCAAAGGACACCTCGAGCAGCACATACTGACGAGGGATGGGAGAGGAGGTCCTTCAGACGGGACTGGATCGCAGGGATTACTGCATCGGAAGGCGAGGATATCAGGTTATCCAAAGCAAGGCATATGGTTGCCTCGGCATCGGATTCAAGGTCCTAGGAGCAGAGATGAGTACAAAGCACGCAGTGCTGCATCACGGCGGAGAACCTTGCGCAGGGTATTGACGAGTAGCAGCCTCAGTTCATGGTCCTCCGTCATGATCTCAGCACAGAAGAGGTATCCTGTCGGCCGTACGATGATGAGCACGACCAGAAGGAGCGGTGGAGTTGCATGCACATGCCTATTCTCTTCTCTGCCACCGAATTCCCGACTTGGGCCAGATTCGCAGCCTGTGGCAGCGCGAAATCCATCGTTCCACGAGGCAGCGACGTTGAGGTTCCCGCGCAATAGAGCAGCACGATCAGACAGTCGCGCGTCTCTTTCTACATAAACGCGTCAATTCAGCGCTTCTGACCCTCCGAGCGGTGCGTGAAGCTCACGAGAGAGATACTGGGGTAGCGCAGCCGGGATTGGATGGATCGCATTTCCTTCAGGATATAGCTGTCCGCTATTTCCGGTGACGCAGACGATTCGACATCCCTAACCAAGGCGTAGTGCGCGCGATTGACCGCCTTGGACGATGAGAACGGGACCTCCATTGGAGCAGAGTGCGTAGGCCCGGATTGTTGTCGGCGCGGTCAAATGATGGCGTGTCTGCTTGATTAGCGATCAAGCACGGCCACGCAGATGTCATGTCTCGTTTCCCCGCCTTCCTCATTGCGACCTTTCTATTGCTCGAGTGCGTTCTGTGCTCTCCGCGCCCTTTAGTAGTATGGCATGGTCTAGGCAGGTTTGAGCAACCGTGTATATCGGCCAACAAGACTCATCTTCAACAGGAGACTCCGCCCAGTCCGCCGGGATGCTGCAGTTCGCCGACGAAGTCAAGGCCGTGCACCCCGGCATCTTTGTACACAACGTGTTCATCAGTGAGAACGAAGACGAGGATAAGCGCGCTGGTTTTGTGCGTCGTCTCTCGTACTTGACTTTCTCCCGATTATTCAACGTAACTCTAGTACGGAAACGTCAACGAGCAAATCGAATTAGTCTCGGACCAACTGGCCGCCATTCCTGAACTGAAGGGCGGATTTGACGCCATCGGCTTCTCTCAAGGTGGGTCACAGAGTTTCTCTGGTGTGTTGCTGCAATCGAACGGGTCATTGCCACAGGGGGACAATTCCTACGCGCATACATCGAACGTTACAACCAACCCCCGGTGAACAACCTAATCACGTTCGGCTCGCAGCACATGGGCGTCTCCGACATCGCGGCGTGTTCACCTCGCGACTTCCTGTGCCAGATTGCCAGGCGGGCCGTGAAAGGCGCTGTCTATGGGACATGGGCTCAGAATAATCTTGTTCAGGTACATACTCTTCTCAAATCTAATCATATCCAAGCCGGCCTCACTCAGCTTCACAGGCCCAATACTTCCGCGACCCAGCGAGTCTCGAAGAGTATCTCGCCGCGAATCATTTCCTTCCTGACATCAACAACGAACTGGCCGAGACGCGCAATGAAACCTATGCCCGCAACTTCGCTTCGCTCAACAAACTCGTTCTCGTCAAGTTCTCCAAAGAGAAAACCGTCGTCCCGCCAGAAAGCGCCTGGTTTGGTTCGCAGGACGAGGCGTCATTGTACGATAACCAGCGCGTTCTGCACCAGGGACTGTCCATGCGCGAGCAGCCTCTGTATCTGGAAGACTGGATCGGTTTGAGGAAGCTGGACGAACGCGGAGATGTGGTTTTCGAGGTCTGCGAAGGTGTCCACATGCAAATCTCTGACTGCTGGAAAGGCCTGGTGCAGGGATACATCGGCTGAGTAGTCGACACTCTCCAAACTGTCATGTGAAATTGGATTAGGATGGAGGATGTTTCTGTCGCTGATTGCCGTGTTTAATCACCGCAATCATCTCGCCGGTTGTTTGTCGGTCAAGCGCTTGCTATTAGGAACAGTCAGTTTCTTCTGCTTTCCACTGTTGGTATGTCAAGACGGAGCCATGCTAGAGCCAGGAATGGATGACGCACGTGCCATTTCCACCGCCGTTGTAAGTATTTTTCGAGACCTTGTGGTGAGAAAGATGGGCGGTACTTAGAAGTTGGGCATCTGATTCCCAGATGATGACGGCTCGCGACCACGTGACCGCCCTTGAGTTGGCTGATGTTATTGAGCTACAGATCGGGACCCCATCAACTAGGCTCATATCATCATTCGTCCATATCATCTGCGTGGACTGCACAGCTTGATCCACTCTCATCTGTGAGCGACATGAGCCGCATTAAGCTGGGAGGTTCTAGATCATTCCACAACGATCTCTTCGAGTCAGTTCCTGTCATTTCCCGCACCTCAATGCTTGGCAACCTTCTGCTCAGCCGACGTGTCCTAGAACACGTATCTGCACTCGACACGTCTTGCTTCGTTGACTTGTAATACAAAAGCCCTTCCATTGACCCTCCAATGGCTACAATTCACATCCACCACGCTTCGAACACACGCTCATGCCTCAACCCAAGCACCTCGCTCGCCGGCGTCGCCCCACGCGCACACAGGCGCGCTCCACGCTGACCACGGCAGCTTTCATCTTTCTCGCGCTCTTGGCCCTCGTATGTCTATGCCCGGTTTCTGTAAAGGCGGAGGGGCAAGAACACGCTGAGAAACGCGACAATGGCGCAGTTATTGGCATTGGTGAGCGCTGGTATGAGTGGATCGTGGCGGGTTGTTCAACATCTTCGCATCGAACAGACCTCGGGACCACGTGAGATACCCCATCCCTCCACTGCTAACACTCATTTGTCTCTGCTGGATCCAGCTATTCATGCGTCGGGTGTGTTGTACTCTGACTCTCATCAATTGAGGCGATCATAACTGACCAACGACCTGCAGCATACTGCGCAACGGCCAGGTCGAAATCATCGCAAACGACCAAGGAAACCGCATCACTCCGTCGTGGGTCTCGTTCACCGACACCGAGCGCCTGTAAGCCACTCTTCCTAACGGCAAGCATCCATCCTCTCACCTACCACGCCGCAGCATCGGCGACAGCGCGAAGAGCGCGTTCCACAACAACCCGCGCAACACGGTCTTCGACGCGAAACGGCTCATCGGGAGGACTATGGACGATCCGCAGCTCCAGTCGGATGTCAAGCACTTTCCTTTCAGGGTCAACGACGTGAACGGGAAACCTGCGATCTCGATTCGGTACCAAGGAGAGGCGCGGGACCTCGTGCGTATCCTCCGTGGCCGAGGTCGTTGATGTCCTGACACCAGTGCAGACTCCGGAAGAGATCAGTGCGATGGTGCTGACCAAAATGAAGGAGACGGCCGAAGCGTATCTCGGGGAGAAGGTGTTCTCCTCCTCGCCTGCCGACGATTCCATCGCCTGATCCAAGCATACAGGTCACCCGCGCTGTAATCACTGTCCCGGCATGTAAGCCTGGCTTTGCCTGTGCAGACAGCTCAGTCTTACGACCTTTGATGACAGACTTCAACGACGCTCAGCGTTCAGCGACTCGAGACGCAGGGACGATCGCTGGATTGGATGTCCTGCGGATCCTCAACGAACCGACCGCGGCTGCACTGGCCTACGGGCTCAACAAACAAGGCGGCGAAAGCAAGGTCCTCGTGTACGATCTCGGCGGAGGCACGTTCGACGTCTCGCTGCTCTCGATCGAGGACGGCGTGTTCGAGGTCCTGTCGACCACCGGGGACACCCATCTCGGCGGGGAGGACTTTGACCACCGCGTCATGGATCACCTGGTGCAGGCATACGAAAAGAAGACGGGCACCGACGTGACGGACAACGCGCGCGCGATGGGGAAGCTGAAGCGGGAGGTCGAGCGAGCGAAACGGGTGCTGTCGACGCAGCAGAGCGCGACGATCGAGATCGACAGCTTTGAGAACGGGAATGATCTGCTGGAGACGCTGACGCGCGCCAAGTTTGAGGAGCTGAACATGGATCTGTTCCGGCGATCGATGAAGCCCGTTGAGCGTGTTCTGAAGGACGCCGGCATCAAGAAAGAGCAGATCGATCAGGTTCGTAGGAGTGTTACTGTTGTTACCCAACATTGACCCCAACTCGCTCCAGATCGTCCTTGTCGGTGGATCGACTCGGATTCCCAAAGTGCAGGAAATTCTCACGCAGTACTTTGGGAAGGAGCCGTCAAAGGGCATCAATCCAGACGAAGCAGTGGCCTTCGGTGCCGCGGTCCAAGCCGGGGTCCTCGCAGGCGAGGAAACCGGCGCACTCATCGTTGATGTCGTGCCACTCACGCTTGGAATCGAGACGACTGGCGGCGTTTTCACGCCGGTCATTCCCCGCGGGACCACGATCCCGACGAAGAAATCTCAAGTGTGCGCGTCGCCCGGTTCTCGCGTCCGACGCATTAGTGACCCGTGCACAGATTCTCGACCGCGGCGGACAACCAGGAGACCGTGTTGATACAAGTGTACGAGGGCGAACGGAAGATGTCCAAGGACAACAACCATCTTGGGGAGTTCGCGCTATCCGGGATTCCGATGGCGCCGCGAGGGATCCCGCAGGTCGAGGTGACCTTTGGGGTCGACGCGAATGGTATCCTCACGTGAGCCTTCGCTCCTTTCAGACTGTTGTCTGCATCTGCTGACGTTCCCCGTAGCGTGAACGCGGTGGACAAGGGCACGTGCGTAGCCCTCACTCTCGTCTGCACCCGCGCACGCACTGACCATCCACCAGCGGCAACCAGAAAGGCATCACGATCACGAGCGGCGGGCGCCTGTCGCAGGCGCAGATCGACGAGATGCTCGCGGACAGCGCGCGCTTCGCGGCGCAGGACGAGGAGCACCGCCGCCGGATCGAGACGCTCAACACGCTCTCGTCGCTGGTGTTCGGCACCCGGAGCGAGTTCGAGGGCGAGGGCGGCGCGGGTCACAGGCTCAAGGATGTGGATAAGGAGGAGATCCTGGCCCTCGTGCGGGAGCACGTGCGCTGGATTGATGAGCAGGGCGCATCGGCTTCGACGGAGGGTCTGGAGGACAAGCTGAAAGGTGCGTGGCGGCGGAGTTCCCTTGATTTTTGGTACTGATGAGGGCGGCAGAGTTTCAGAGCGCTCTTTCGGAGCTCAAGAGCAGGGCGGGGGCTGTAGACGAGGAGTGGATGTATGGGGAGCTGTAGGACTCGGTTAGATCCCTCTGCGACAATTGTTGGTATCTCACATGTGCCATCCGCCAATTTCGAGTAGATGAATGCCATAACATAACCTTAGCGTTACTAATCTGGGGTGAATACAGGACTGTTTCGTCTGGACCTACTCTGCACGTCAAGTATGGATCTCCAACCGCCGGTCGAGTCGTAAATGCTTGATAATCCTATAAGTAAAATACATTGCGCCATCGATCTATATAAATTTCGACCACATCTCATAACAAAACAAAACAAAAATCACGCAGCTAGCTTCAGCAGCTGCACCCGCTCCTCGCGCACCGCAAACAGCAGCATGTACTTGAAGCCCTCGCTCCTGCGTTTTGCGACCGCGTCGCGGATCTGCTGCGCATACGCCCACTGCGGGAGCATCCCCGCGACGGCCTTCCACGCCTCGTCGTCCTGCGCAACCCACGCGCTGCTCCGCGTCATCGCATCGAACGCAGCGGGCGGCACGTCGATCGCGAGGATCGGCATCCCGTCGTGCACGCCGCTCTCGATCTCCACACCCGTTTCGAACGCTGGAGAGCAAAGGCATGAGTCAGTCACGGGCACGGGCATGGGTATGTGCGGGGAGGGCATACCGCGGTCCATGAAGAGCTGTTTCACGTGCTTGCGCTGCTTCTTGACGTCCACGGGCGGAAGGAGCAGCTGCACGCCCGATTTCTCGACGACGGGAGCGGCGGCGCTCGCACCCGGGACGTCGGTGAACCGCAGGGCCCCGGACGTGCTGGCATCGATGCGTTTCTGCTCCGCGATCTGCTGTTGCAGCCACCCGATGAGTTCCTGGCGGGTCACTGGAGAGGGAGAGAGGGTGAGCCGGCATCGATCAATCGAGGACAAACACGCGCACATTCGTACTCGGTTCCCTTGAGGATGCTCTTGACCTTGAACGCCAGCTGGTCGCGGCGAGAGCGCGGGTAGACCGAGAACAGGACACCCTCCCGCGCGCATATGTCCTCGTTCTCGACATCCGCGACGCCCGACTCGTACATCAGATCCGCGCTGATCCCGTGCGCCCAGAGAAACGCCACGACCTCGAGCCGTTCCTGCAGATAGCCTGGATGGTACGAGACGACGTACACATCGCAGCGCCGGGGGCTCCAGAATCCGAACGACCGCTCCTGCTTGACGAGCGCGCGCACGGACGACGCCTGGTACGCGGCCAGCGCGACGGTGATCTTCTCCACGGCAATCTGCAGGCCCATCGCACAGATCGACTCCAGCTTCTGGCCTGGCGTGGCTTGTTCGGAGATCATGTGGTCATATCTGGATACCAGCTAGCTTCAGCAAACGAACGGGGGGTATCGCACAGCGCAGAGCACGACGCACCGACCACCCGCAGCAAGAACATCCGTCCTCTTCGACTTGCGCACGACCTCGACCAGAATCCCGTCCTTGTAATGGGCGTGGTGGTTTCCCAGCATCAACGGATGGAACATGATAGGACGCGTTACACCGGCGACGGTCGCGTAATGGATGATCTCCTTGATCTCCTCCACTTGCGGCCGCAGCAGGTTGGTCAACGAAGACGACACCTTGTCGAGTTTGGCGAGGAATGTGTCGATATCGTCATCTGACTCCGGTGAGTTTTCAAGCCAGAGAGCGCCGCAAACGGCCCTCACCGGGATCTGCCAGTGTCTCCAACTCATCGGCAGTGCTCCTCAGCAATCCCTTCTTGAGCAGCAGCGCTCTCTTCTGCGACGTCGACGACTTGTTGTTGCCAACGATATCCATGATCGACATCCGCACATCCGCGGGAATGCGCTCACAGATGATCCGCACGACTGCCAAATCATCAGTGCCACGATTCAAACACGCCGTCACACACTTACTCGAGGAATGCGATATGTGGATCTCATATCCGTCTGTCAGATTCGGGAAACTGTCCAGAAGGTCGTTTGCAACGGCGATGATCTCCGCAGACGACGCGAGCGGTCCAGAGGCCATGTCCGTCGAGATAATATCGAACAGCGCTGCCTTTTGGAACTTAGGGTGGCCCGCAACGTCGCTGATAAGATGAGATCAGAACGACGAGTCGAGTGATAAGTTGCAGAGACATACCCCTCCCGGTAGACATTCGCAATGTGGTACCTCTTGATCCTCGAAATCCCACCTTTGGCCGCCAGTCTGGCAAACGGAAGCAGCAGATTCGGAGGGAGGGCCACGATCTCGCCATATCGGTCGATGAACGCAGCCCGTCCGATCTTCCTATCCTCCGGATCAACCACAGGCATCAGCAGCGGAGGCTCAAAGTCCACCGCGCCGTGGAGGCGGAAGATGTGCGTCAGCCGCTCCTTCACGATCTCGTTCAGCGAGGCGTGCTCCGGGAGATCGCACTCCATGTCGTACAGGAACTTGCGCGCAGGCGGCTGCGGCTGGCTGAAGAGCGAGGAGAGCACGGATTGGAAGTGGGGCGAGTCAGCCTTGACTGCAGAGCAAGCGAGGCACGTGAGTGGTCAGATGTGGATTATCGTCCACGGACGCGGGGACGCACCCATCATGCCGAGCGCGCCCTTGAAATACTCGTCTTCGATGCGAGACGGCAGCAGCGAGCTCTGCGACAGCTCCAAGGCAGTCGGCCGGGTGTCTGGATCATGGTCCAACAGGCGTGTGATGACTGCACACGGGATCAATCAGCCCATCAGAAGTCTACAAACACAGAGACCCACTTTGCTTCTGTCTGGTCAACCGCGCATCCCAGCTGGCGGGGAACAGTATCAGCGGCTGGCGCAGTCCCTCGATCACAGCGATGCGCTCGGACCCTGTGATGAACTTGTAGTTCATCTCGAAGAACACAATCTACGGGGGTCAGTCCCATGCCGACGCCAAGCGGAGATGCACCCACCCCGAGACTGTACATATCGGCCTTGGCATGGTTACGCGGTCCGCGCTTGCGAGACTGGACTTCGGGTGCAATGTAGAGCCGCGTCCCCACCTCCAGCGTCATTTCAGCATCCAGCACTACCGGGGCAAGCATCGGGTTCGCCGGCTCCATCGCAGAGAGGTTTGACGTCGCGAGCCCGAAGTCACCGATTTTGCAGTCGCCTTTGGCATCGATGAAGATGTTGGTCAGTTTGATGTCGCGGTGGATCTGGGAACTCGGGTGAGAATTGGAACTCGCGAACTCTGATTTGAACACACGATTCCCAGGGACGACATGTACACAAGCGCTTCGAGGATCTGCTGGAACAGCCGCCACGCTTCTTGTTCTGACAGGCCCTCGTCGATCCGTTCCTTCAGCGTCTGCCGCTCAACGAATTCCTGCCCAGCACGTGAGCATATCAACACACGTGGACACGAAATACACACAGACCATCTGGATATACAAGGTCCGCGATACCACCACAGGCGGAGTCGAGGGCGGCGGAGTCGCGTCATCCGGCTCGAAAACAAACGGATCATCCGAATCAGAGTCGTCGTCGTCTTCATCCTCCTCCTCTTCACTCCCTCCCTCCTCGTCTCTAGGCGACGACGAGCGTGTGAAATGGATGCTGGGGAAGGAGCTCCTTGACCCCGAGCCACCGACATCGTCCAGATCATCCAGATCAAACGCAATCGGGTCTCCGCTGGACGAGAGGATCCTCTTGTTGCCGCGTCTCAGCCACGGTGATCCGCCGGCCGTCATCCGGTCGTCTTCATCGGAATCGTCCTCTGATCCAGTGTCGCTGTACTCGGAGTCGTCCGAGACTGCAGCCGAGGACGAATGCTCTGCGGTCTCGACCCAGGTCGTGAAGTATCGCACAATGAACCGGTGCGACAGTCGGCTCAGGGCATTCACTTCGCGGAAGATCTTCATGTCGCTGTGTGTCGTACTCAGTCGGATCTTTTTGACTGGACAATGGGTCAGATCAGTGGTGAGTTTACATGGCACACATACCAGCGTAGATCCGCGAATCGATCTTGTTCCGTGCCTTCACAACAGAGCCAAAGGCACCTTTGCCCTGCAGAAGTTGAGACTGTAAAAGCAGGACACAGGCAGCGAACGTACCAACAGCTCCAGCTCCTCCCAATCTTCCTTCCACCGGCTGCTTTGTCGGTCCCGTTGGGGAGGGCGGATGAAATAGTCATTCTCCGGCGACCCAAACTTGCCGGGCATCGGCGTCCGAGGTTCTGGGGATGTCTCGATTAGATAGGATACGACGATGAATGAGCAGGCGGTACGTGCCAAAGGCAGCGACGACCGGACTCTTCATCACAGGCAGCGCTGCAGTGAGCGGGGCTGAAGCCAAGTCCGCGAGGACGGAGATGCACGAGACCGGATTCCTCTTGGAAGGAGAGAGAAGATTGAGGGCCTGCCGTTGGAGGCAGGGGGAGATGGTGGCTTGGTGGCTGCGGTTAGCCTCGACGCGGGGGGCGGTAGTGCACTGTCTACGTACAAGCCCGAAACGCAGAGTACACATCCGGGTAGCGGTCCGTCACATCCAAGCCCAAGAGCATCTGCATCAACACGATCCCAACCGCATGCATGTCCCGATGACGAGTATAGACCAATGCCGAGTCATTCTTCCAGTCCTTGAAGAGCCTGTGCCGATCTCAGCAAGACGCAGAACCAAAGCCGAGGGACGTACCAGTGGTCAGGCAGGACCGGCTCCTCCGTATCAACAGCGATCTCCGGCCCAAATGGATTCGATCGATGCAAGTCGAGCAGCCTTGTGTGAAAAGAAGCTTTCATCAACTTCACCGTTCGTGGTCTGGGAGTAATCCCGATGGTATCAGCGCATATACCTGCAGGCTGGCATCAGTGACAAATTACATAGAGGCAACGCATGCACACCTCGATGGACGACATCAGCTACGTGTAAGCTGTTCAGTCCAGACAAGATTTGGACGAGGTATTCCTGGACAACAATAAGCCGAACAAGGAAGGAAACTGAAGATAGCTCTAACGAACCGACACCCGATCCTCTCTAATGCAGTCACAGTCCTCGAGCAGATCTCGCAGAGTTACTCTCGGCGGTGCTTCGTACAGCACAGCCAGCTTCGGCGCACCGGCGTGTGGGAACGAAAGCTTGACTGCGAACAACCGCAACAGGTTGGGATGCCGAAGTGTGATCAGCCTCCGCACTTCAGCCTCAACTTGCTTCAGCTTCTTCTTTCCTTGGCTCGTAATGTAGTAATGGGATGGGAATCTGACGATAAACAATCGCATCGGCAATGACGCCGTTACATCGTCGCATATCGCATCAGCGGCATAGGATATGCCTAAACGTTCAGGACGTGGGTGGAAGATGTTGACTGAGTGGAACGTGATGCCGTCCACGACGACAGCCTCACTGAACGTCTCGGTCGGCGTGTCCCCGGTGACAGGAACCTCCGTGGCTTCGGAGCCCGCGCGTTTCCTTTGACGATCTCTATGCTGCTGCTCCCGTGCCAGTGCCTGCTTGTGCGCGTCGGCTTTGACGACTGCCTCCAACTGCTGCGCTATCCGGGCAGCGCGCTCCGTCTCTTGCTCCGCCGCGTCCGCCTCGCGCTGTTTGCGGATCCGCTCCTCCTCCATCGCGCGCTGCGTCATCTGATTGGCGAGCGAGCCCGCGACCTCGACGGGTGGGACGACGTGGCTCGACATCCAGTCCTGACAGAACGTGACGATCTGGGAGTGGCGTCAGGTTCGAGTCAGAATGGAAGGAAATTGATGTGAAGAGGAAGATCAGGTAAAGAACAAAGGGCATGACGCGTACCTGGAAGGTCATCTCAGTTCCCTTGCATCGATTCACCTCATGTTGTATTTCGTGGGATAAGGACGTCACTTGGTCATTGCTCAGCCCAACGATCGGCTTTTGAATCGTGAACGTCGGGCAGGCTTTCGTGGGATAGGTTTTCGGAAATCTGGAACGTCGTTTGCATGAATGGAGGAAAGGAGTTCCGTCATCGACAAGCGCGCGTACATAACATGTAAATGGAAACATATCTTGCTCGCGTGCTCTCCGTCGGGGTGCGGCACGCGTATCGTAAATTCATGAAGTCTGGGCGCGCCCTATATCCGTATCGCCGTCATGAATATTGGGAAGCAAGAAACTGGGGCCCGGAGACAACACGCACTTTCCACGCTTTGGGAGGCGGGGTTTCGATAAAATCTTCAGCGTAGATGGATTGGAGGACGGTGAGCTCTTGCAATTGCAACTCTTCACTGGATTCCATGACGATAATATGCTTGAGGAGGGGAGACCAGGCGGCCTCAGCAACTCAAGCTGCCATGGGTGCAGCGGCGCCTTGAGGTTAGAATGTCGTGATGGAAGGAGGAGAGCTGATGGCGCGCTGCGTTCTTGGCGCCTGCCAATCAACCAATCACCATCATCAGTTCCGCTGCTGGGGATTTCTCGGTCCGAATTCTCACGATGAGTCTCACTCTACCTCCGAAGTTGTCTTCATTGCTTGCTTGTCTACGCCGCTTGGGTGATTCGAAGATCTACATTTATCAAGATGCATGGCTATCATCGTGGGCAATTTATCGGGCGTCGTTCGCCCCTAATTCCTCTCAGCACTGCAGGTCCCCTAGACTGAGTATCAACCTAGCAGCAGCGGCCCGTCACGGCGCGAATCAGCCGCTGTACCCACACTTGACGACTACCTTCAAGGCTCCAAAATCTGCCGTTACATAACTTTCGCCCGACGCTCAAGTTGCCCGCAGCACGTTCGAATAGCCATTGACTCAACCCGTACGATTTCGTAGTTGACGACTAAGTGGCAAAGGTGGCAATTTGGCGATCCGAAACTCTCGGGATGTTCTCGCAGTCACACGGCTAGAGGAAGAGAGTCGAGCCAGTACGGCATCCCTCAATACACTTCGATCACTTACTGCACAGGTTACGTCTCGGTGTGCAGTTTTGCTCGAGTCCACGATCTCTTGCGCGCGCTGAGTGCATGCGGCACTTGCCCGGCTTCGTTCTCTCGAGGCCTTGGGGCCGCATTTAAACCGGGTCTAGACGGGGAGGTTGGAAGAGCACGATGCCAAGCATGACATACAAGCTCAAGGGCCTCCGATGGACGATGTCGAGATCTGTGTTGGATCCAGACAGGGGACGTGACTGCAGAGAGATTGTGGCTGAATTTGCATGCCGAGGATCCTCGACAGAAGGTCTCGCATGTCCTCCTTTCTGTTCCTCATGATACTTCTGGCATTCCCACCAACACGGATTCGCGGTCGTCACCACGAATAGCCTTCAAGCGTTCCAATGCTGCCGTTTGTTTCATGCCCATCTTGGCGACTCGTAACGACATGAGGACGACGGCCCGATGACGGAACTTGGGAAACCCTTTTTCTTTACAATTACCATGAGGTGGCGCACTACAACGTGGGGCATTGATACGCCAGTTTAGCAACTGCATGCGGCCCCGATGCCGACCTAAAATGACCGGATGAAGGCGTCTTGCTTCGCCGGATGGATACTGGAGATGGTGATAATCGCACGCGAGTTCTTTGCGCAGCCATCTTCGTGGGCATATATATCCAACTTCGCCGCGATTCTTCTTACCCCATAATCATGGTCCAGTCAGTGCCGAGCCAGGCCTTACACGAGTCTCTTGTCTGCGACGTAACGGATCTGTTCGTCTCAGAAAAACTCTCACCGTACATTGTCTCATGTTGGCGTCTAGCGACCATGTCTTGTCCATCCGTCAAATGCCTTCGAAAGCACGTTCGTCTGGTCAGGCCAAAGGTTTGAAAGCCAAATCTGCAGTGATTCATCCTTTGCTGATCCCTTAAAGCGCGCAGGGTTTTGGATCCGTTCCCCGTCGTTCAGTTGAATCTCGAGCAGCCATCCTCGACGGGTTTTTCTGAATCGTACGTCACTCCAATTCATCGTTACCAGTTTTCTTGACGGGTATCAGGGTCAAACTTTTTCCATACCAGCTTCCAGTGTATGCGATGTGTGTGGAACTCTTTCACGAAGAACATAATGAGCAAGTCGTCACTGTCAGTTTGAGTTCTCGATATGATGCATGCACTTATTTACGTGCAGGACTTGCACAAGCGACCGATTCTTGACGGGGCTCGCCTTTTGTCTGTGACCCCCGTCCACGCTTGCAACTATGCGCAAACTCGGAACTATGATTATTACTTTGCACACCCAGACCTGGCTGTGCGCACGACAGGCCGCTTTCGTTTGTGCTTTACTCTGTTTCGTTTGCAAGGGTGAGTTTCAGAAAGCACGCCTCGAGTCCGAGTTTGACTATCTCAGCTCGTCGTTTGTCATCTGCGGCCTGCCTGTGATTTCGGACGTATTCCGCGTTGTTTCCAGCGATCAATACAGTGGCGTTGAGGGCAAGTATATCTATCTATCGCTGCGCATGACCTCATATGCTTACTTTTCAGATGCGACCACACTCTCGTGTCGTCTGGGCCAATTTGGTGTGAGGGCCCCCCGGACCAGTGCCGGCAAGCAGAAACATTATCACACACCCATCCTTCAGTCTGCACGTCCTGTTCGAACAAGTCGGGAGTCTACGAGAAGGAGGCGCTCCCCCATTGGCAATAAAATACCCGTTCAGAGACCTATCGATGCCACACTGGAGTCAGAGCTCTACATGCCTCGACCCATATACATGATCGCACACAACCGACCTACCCTCCTCAGTAACACGGAAGATGGGGAGGATTGGGATCTGGATGGGTGGCATCCGGCGGGAGCTCCGTTTACGACAGACAATCTTTTCCAGTCATCCGACTACTCCCTACCCTCGCTAGGACCAAGCTACGTCTATATCGATGGGGATGCCGAGCTCGCCGATGCAGATTTTTCGTATGGCAGATATTCGGCCATGTCTGAATCTTCTTCCACAGTGAGCTCGTACTCGGATGCTTCGAGCATCTATTACTGGATTTCCGATAACACACCGGCCGGATGTCAGTATACTCCATAACTCCAGAGGTTTCGGATCGGGACTGCGGCCCAGTAAGTGTGTAGGAGGAACATGTATCGTCGTTCAGTGTATACAAGTGATTATCGACTCGAGCCAAGTCCCGTCAAATGGGCTCTGGTGACTCTGCTCTGATAGCTCAGACAGGGCAGTCCAAGGCGTCAAGTGCTCGGTAGGTAAGAAAACGCTGGATGTGCCCTACCATCCGCTTAAGGTCAACGGCTCTCGGAATTGGCGATGGACTTTGTAGACGGGCCGGGTTTGTTTAGTTGGAACGTCGATACGATTGTGAATCAACTTGCTCGAGTGCTTCCCTGCCCTTCATGAGTTCGGAGGGTCCCATACCACCTCGTGGCTTCCCTACTGCGGTGCTCGACGACGACGCAGGGCAATTGAAAATTGCGTCCTGTGGTGTCGGCGATCTTCAACTGGAGCTCGGAAAGAAGTCCGTGAGGGCTCAATATACCGAGCTGAGAGAGGGTGCCACGGTGTTGGTAGCGGTCGCAAAGCCATGTGCGATGATTGACAGCGTGAATTGTTGTACTTAGTTTGCTATTGCCCATCTTGAGCTTGTCCCCTCACCGATGGAAGGCCCGTATGCTCAGCCGCCTGTTCCCCGCCTGCGCATCCCGAGGCAACCTTTATCCGCGGTGGCAGACCGGTTAACTTTTCACGAGGATTCGGACTCGAACGCGGAGGCGGGTCCTTCGTCGTATCTCTCGAATGGCCACAGTCAACACACCTCTGGTCCTAGCTCGGACGACACACAACCTACCCCTCGGCCGAGGTCTGGGAACTCCGTCTCTGGCTCTGGCTCGCCGCCGCCTTTGGATGCCGCGTCCCGACTGCGCGCGCTCATCTCGCGTATGCCGAATTCGGACAGCCCAGCCTCCTCTTCCAAGTCGCCCCCCGCCGCTCGTCCTGCCTCCCCGTCAGAATTTGAATCAGACTTCGAGCCTCCACGATTCAGTCCCACGCCATCCGTCGGTCCGAAAGAGAGTCTCAAAGATCTCTTCTCACGTGTTCTAGAGGACACGCCTGTGAAGCGGGGCACTCGGCCACGAAGGAGCAGTGCAAGTGAGGTGGAAGACAGTCCCCGATTATTAGATAGATCAAAGGCGAAGGGAAAACGGAAAAGCTTGAGTGACGAGGAGACTGACAAAGTCAACCGTGCGTGTCTCTAATCCTGCTCTTGTCTGAAGTGTCATACTGAACAGTGTCTCAGGCTCCTCTGAGTTCTCCTTCAAAAGCTCGCAGGCAACCACATTCGACAATCTGCGCGAACGTTTAACTAGCTCGCATACCTGGAAGAGCCAGGCTACAACGAGTGGCAGTCATGGTTGGAGCGCAAGCGCCTCTCGACCGTTCTACAGTCTAACCACATTTACCAGAAGCCGTGAACGCAAGCGTCAACACTACCACTGGCACGGAAACCTTCCTGCGCGACCTAGACACTTCAAGACCTGCACATCCCGTCTTCACCAGCACGCCGCCACATTCTATGGAGCTGTCTGCCGACTCCAAATACCAAACAAGTTTGCTCTTTTGCGGCTCACCTGGATCAACATGTATTAAATCGTTCTAGATCTCATGGACCACGATTCTGAAATGCAAAACATGATGAAAGATCTAGATAGCTTCGATGGTGATGCTGCCAGCCGACCAAGTACGTTTTTCCACATTGAAGCTGATTGTGCATATCTAATCGTTGCTCAGTATCATTTCCAACCTCGCGAGAACAACCGACTACTGTCAAACGCCCCCATTCCTTACATCTTGATACCCCGCCGACACTGCGCAAGAAACACAGCCAAGCTGATATACAGAGTAAGGAACTCGACACTGTGCTTGTGTTTTCCTCGTAATCAAATCGGCAGACTCCCGTACCAGGACCTTGTCCGCTTCACTGACTCGCGATTCACCGTCACACATCCATGAAATGGAACGAGAGTGGAACAAACCTCATGCCAAGAGCTCACCGCGACCGGAACGGCATCTTTCGCTTGGTTCGACTACGAATGGACATGTTCGCGAGAGAACTGTGAGTAGTGGCTCAGCGTTGAGTGATAGCGGATCTTCGAGGGGCACGTCAATCCATTCTCATTCTGATTGTGAGTGATCTGCGTCTCAATTTGGCAAGTTCTTTGACGGCGGTTTGTAGACAAGGAGAGAATGACTCAGTTGGAGCGTGAGCGAAATACAGAGCGGGAACATGCCTGGAATAGACCGGCAGGAGCACGGCCGACATCGTCTCTGAGCGTGCATTCACCTGTGCACTCTCCGAGCGAGCGCAATAGAAAGCTCAGTCAACCCACTCGGCCTGCATCATCGCTATCTGCCCATTCGGCTTCGCACTCCCCCATCGAGCGGACAAGAAAGTTGAGCCAACCTACTCGCCCTGTCTCGTCGCTATCTGCTCGGAAACCGTTTTCGAGGCATGACTCGGCTTCGTCGACCGCGTCTTCGCATGGGGGGTCTGATGCAGAAGATCGCGAAGCGAAGCATGAAATCGAGCATGAGCGAGAGCGCAACTGGGGCTCGCAGACTCCGCGGTGGACCAAACAATCGCTCAAGTCTCAGCATAACCCTTCGCCATCGCAGTCTACATCAGCTTTGCCTCATTCTCCGTCGAACAGCACATCAACCAGCTCGCGGCCTCGCGTGACTAGCCTTACTGGCCGTGCGGAAACTTCCTTTTCGCGAACCACTTCGGCTGTCGGGTCATCCGCTTCGAAAGCAGGGATAAATGTGCGCAAGCCTCTCGTGCCTCGACCGCAGAGTTTCCACGGGCGACCGACATCACCCCTACCCCCAGTGGTTGAAGGGAAAGTCACCAGCCATTGCTAGCCACCGACTGTCGATCCCTTCGTCGCCTTCTCCCAGCCCTGGTCAGAGACCTGCGTCCGACCGGAAGCCTGTCAGCCATATTCCCATACGGAAACCGGCTTTCGCCGAACAAAGCTCACCCCACCGCGATGCGCAGTTCCTTGCTCCAACTCCGCTCAACGTCGAAAGCAGCGAAGAAGTGACGGAAGAGGAACGGACGCCTACTCTGCAGACTATTCGGATTCCGTTTGAAGAGCCTGTGTCAGTGGCACCGGAATCTCCGCCAGAGGATGTCCTCTTTCAAAAGGCATTGTCGATCGCAACACCGGCTTCGCCTCCAATCGAACGACCCGTCACGCCAGTCCTTGAGGCTCCTCAAATCACCATCTCAAGTTATTTGTCGACGCCGCCCCGCCGTCCATCGTTGTCCAAGTCGGCTGCTGAATTCCAAACACCGTCCCCTCCTCGGGATCTTCCAGACCTTCCAGATCCTCCGTCTACCGATGACGACACGACGACGGCAGCACCTTCAACTATTACACCGGCGGCCATGACTCCTATGCGACGGCTGGATGTCACGGCCAGCAAGACCCCCCGTCCCCCAGGTGCATGGGCCAACACACCGATCCCAAGTCGGAATGATCTAGACGCAGAGAGTAGCGATGGTCCATACGAGAACGGGCTCGCCACGCCGGTTGCCTCGCTGTCCCGAGCACTGCCGGCGCAAACTCCCCGACCCCCCGGGGCTTGGATGCCGACGCCTCGCAAAAGCATTCTCAAAGTCCGCTTTGATCCAAAGCCATCCGAGCTGGAACTTTCTGCTACAGAAGAGTCTTTGGCCGAGACCGGACTGGCGACCCCATCTGACGATGAAGAAACACAGCCTCCTTCGCCCAAAAAGACCACTCGGATCCGTCACGTGGATGAGTACGGGAATGTCCGTGTCGACGACAGTCCACCGAGAAGCCGCAGTCCCATTCGGATCGTGGATGCTATGGGTCAGCCCGTGCAGGAGGAGTCGGTGGCTGAGGCAGAGCCTGCGACGCAGTCCAAGTCTGCGGTGATCCGTATGGTTCAGGACGGTGTCAGCGATCTTGCTCGTGAATTGGATGCGATCAGCCTGTCCTTCGACTCCAACCGCGTCCCTGACAAACGCATCGGAGAGTTGGAAACGACCTCTCAGCTTTCTCGCGCAGCAAGACAGTCGATACAAAGCCACCGGTTCGAAGAGCTGCGAGCCAACATGGTTCGAACGACCGAGGTGAGGGCTATCCTCGGCTGCCGTCTGGTTCTGTCTTGATTTCTTTCTCAAGGCCCCCAAGCCCGCTCCGTCCGCTTCTCGCTTCAAGGTATGGTCTTTGGTTATTCTGAGCCAGCTCTTTTTCGTATACCTGCTGTATCGGTGAGTCGTTTTCATGATGTCTGTCAAGATGCTCAGTCGCGCCCAGATACCGAAGAAACAAGCTCCACGAGATGTTTCTGTCCACATACTATGACCCGTTCTATCCGCATCTCCATCTGAACGGAATCAAATCAGACCATCTCTTGACCCCGACCACCGCTCCTTCCGTGACCTCGCTGCTGTTCACCCTCCGTCACGAGGGTCTGGTCGCATTTTTTCGTCATTTATCCGAGGTCTACACTTTCGACTGGAGAGCCGACGTCTGGGCTGACGAATCTATCCATTGGCCGCCTACTTGAATTCCATCTTTTTGTTGTATCTACCAATCCTTGTATGATTACCGCTGGGCATTTATTTCACTATTTAATTAATAATAATGATAATCTATACTCGATATCTAGGTGACGCGACGCGTTTTTGGAAAGCACGTGATGGCATCCTGATGAACTCTCCTCCACCGCCCACCTTACTTTCGACCCTTCAACAAGTCAAAGTCCAGGACCTCCCTGTGCATGATGTTCATCCGTTCTCTACTGCTGCAGAATCTTCATGTGCCACGTTGGAGAAACTGATCGCGACGACAGAGCAGCTCGGCAGCTCCTTGCATGCATACCGCAACTCGACATGGACTAATCCAAAACTCGTATCCTTGCTTAAGCAGCACACGGCCGTCTCACATAACCTCAAATCGGTCAGTTGTGCTGCTCTCACAATCGAACTACCTCACACGCTGAACCGGACGACAGACACACCGAAACACAGCCCAGACTCTCCAGGGGCTGCGCGATCGCGCAGGCTTAGTCAACTATGGAGAGGACGTGCCGATGGATCCTCGAATGATCCCAGGCTGGTTTACCGAGCGGCTGGAATCGTGGGCGCGCTTGGCTGGGATGGAGACATACAAGGAGGACCACCGGGACGTGATCCTGCTTGCGGGCGCGGTCCTCGTCATGGAGGTTGAGTTCGCGGTCGACCGCGCAGATCCGCTTGCGCCTGTACTCAATCTGGCTAGCATCAAGACGTCGTATGCATCTTCGGACACGCTGAACGCGACGGGGTCGGCGTCACTGGACGCGTTCATGGTGGAGATCGTGCAGAGGCTGTTGGATGAGCTGAAGAAAGCGGATGATGTGAGGCAGCCTCGCTCCGTCGCGAACCTAGGCAGGGGCATTCTTGAGCAGCTGCAATACCTCGTCATGCTCGACAACCTGGCGAAGCGGCAGCAAGATGGAGGCGTGCGGTGGTTCGTGGACATGGACAGTCTCTATCCCATGCTGGAGGGCTTTGCGAAGAACGAAGCTAGCTCTGTTTCATTGTATGCTTTCTTCTATTCGGGCCTCAACAGTGTCTTTTTTGATCAGTTACAGGTCGCTCGGCGCGAACGCAGCCCCTTTGGATATCTACCTAGCACGATGTCATGGTCTCCCTCTGCCATATCTAACATCTCCCTCGATAACATTCCTCATATATGTCTCTCCGCAGACGTATCTCCGACTCAAAAATGAGGCTGCCACTCACGACACGAAAGAAAACCTTCCTCAGCTCGACATTCCCATCACCCAACTGCGAGCTTGTCTCGCGAACCCCCAGAAGGACATGCGCTTCACCAGCGCAACACTCAAGCTGACCGCCCTGGCTGACGCCAAGCTACCAAACTTCATGGCGCTGCCGGCTCTGGTGTCGCGGCCGTCGTTCCCCTTGGCTGCGCCCGGGGCCGAGCTGGAGCATCTGTTTCCGCAGATCGGGGGCGGGGAAATGGAGCTCCAGAAACAAGAACATATCTGGGTGCTTGACTTTTCGCAGGGCGGCGCCGCACGGGGGGTCGTCATGAGCCAGTCTCGGCTGCGTGAGATCGAGTTGATTCTAAATCCGATGAGTGGGATGGATCCTTCGGCGGAGGATATCCTTTCCTTTGGGATCGGATCAGGGAGCTGGGTCGCGTTGCTGGTGAGTCTTTGTCAGTAGGTGGATGTTATGATGACGTTTTTGCGCAGCTCAATCCGACAAATCCCGTTTCGTCTGAGCGATATACGGCAGTTTATGTCAGTAGGCTCACACATCGGTTTTGCACGATTGTTGATGGCTGGTTCAGCGCTCCCCGACATCTAAGCATCCACCGTTACAACTGAGGTTGACACTGCCGGAAGAGCCTGGTTTTTTCCTAAACAAGGTCCAGGTGCACAGCATGAAAGAAGTTTGGGGTGTCTTGGAGGTCAGTGACCACGAAGCCGACCCGTCTGTCGCTGACAAAGTTGCGTCCCAGATCGTACGTGAGCAGTGCTGGCTCAACGAAACACTTCTCGGCTGTCATTGGACCACTGAGGGCATCAGGGACGCCGAAGATGTACCCATGGATGACGGGGAGGCCACCGCGGAAGACTTGCACGCGGTTTTGACAGGTGAGCATTTCAACACAGATCATTCTGCGGGTCCGGATTCTGAACTGTGCAGGCAGCATCGTTCCGCGAAAGATCCCCGTGAATCTATCTCTGCCTCCTAGACCTGTGTACGACCCGAGTCTGGATTCTCTGATGGAGGTCCTGGACCGCCGGACTCGCATTCTGATGGTGTCGCCAGAACGACCTCCGATGTCTGGCGTGGTCGAGACGACTGTGGCCTACGACGAAACCCGGCCCCGGGCAGTCAGCGTCGAACTGAGTGGTGCGATGGGCTGCGACATCAAGCCCGATGCTCTGGAAGAGATTGCTCGCAGAGGCGGGGCCTTGTCGTTGCCGGGTCGAGTCTGGGCTTGTTCGCGTGGAATGTCTTGAGAAAAGTATATTCCAAATGACTGTACTGTAAAAACTTGGGTCAGTTGCCCGATGATCCACTTCCGCTTGTTGGATCTGTGTAAGAGGTCCGTAACTCAGGTGGGCATCAACATGACTTGACCTTGAAGCTTCAATTTGACCAGATGGTTGGATGAACCAGAGGTCTGCGCATACACAGTGAAGTTGAATTGATTCATTTGAATGGAGCTCATTTATTAACACCGCAGATTCGCGTTCCAATCTTCAACTAGTTCGAACGATCATATCCAGCAGGAAACCGATATTTCTCGCACGAGCAAATCATGTAGATTGTTCAATCACTCAGCATCGATCCAATGGGTTCTGATGACAATGCTTTGGGCCCGAGATCATGCGTTCTAGAGCAGCAGTTCGAGGGAGTTGAAATGTGTCTCCATGATGCACGGGGTAACCAGTCTGTCGAAAAAAGTTGATGATAGGCTACAACAACAGTCTACTCTTCCGGAACCTCAATCTCGCCCGAGTTGATGTCGTCGATGATATCATGGGGCGGTCGACCCTCGACGGTGCAACCCACACTCTGGGCGGTTCCCAGAATCTCCTTCGCACACCCAGACAGGTCCTTCGCCAGGGACTTGGATTTCATGGTGCGGGCAATCTCAAAGATCTCGTCAAGAGGAATGTTTCCGGAGTGCTTGATGTTCTTCTCCTTCTTGCGGTCGCGTGGGGGCTCTGTGAGACGACTGTCAGCGACTGGAGGATAGGACAGAATGGGTGCAACGCACCCTTGAGGGCCCGGATGACAAGAGAGGAGGCGGAGGGAACGATGGAGACGGCCGCTTGCCGATTTTGGATGGTGAGTTGAACAGTGACTCGGAGACCTTTCCAGGCAGAGGTGGCTTTGGCGATATCTTCACCAACCTTCTTGGGGGACTACGGTAGTTTGTTTGTGAGTCAAAGCGGAAACGGATCAGCTGGGAGCGCGAACCAAACCAAGAGGACCGATTTTGGGAGCGAGTGCGGATGAGGCACCGACTTCACCACCAGTCGCACGCAGGTAGATGATTTTTATCTCGTTCGGGTCGAGTTTGGGAGCCATGGATGACTATACAAGGCGTCGGGAGGCGGCTTCAAAGATCAAGCAGGGCCTACTCACGAGGTGGGCGACTGTGGAAGGGAGAGAGGGTCAATACGGCCACGCAAGGAAAGATATTGACGACGTACAGGTCTTGAGGTGCTTGCCCGGAAACCTTGGTGGCTGTGTGTCTGTCACGCGTCACAGAACTTGCCAGTATCACTCATTGATGGCTTGTGAGTGGATAGTTGTGCCATACGTCCACTATCATCGCGCTGTCTTAGTCGATACCGTGTCATTAATATCCACTGGAATGCACACGCTTTTTTTTCAAGTGCATTACCCACATCTCCTGTAATTACCAGTTCCACTTCCCGAGGTGAAAGCACGTTCGTGGCTGTGTAATGATCCGATCTCGGACCGCTATCCGATCTCGCATCTTGCTAAAGACTTTTTGAGTTGAGAACGTCTCGACCATCGCACCCGGCATGGATGCATGGAGGAGTTACCTCTCGATTTCAATGCTGTGCCCATCGACAGCCTAGTAGTTCTGATAGGTCGAGCGAGGTGTCTGTTCCGATGAGACCGTCATATTCATTCAGCCACAGCCGATATGCTCGAACGTCTCATGGCTCATAACGACTTGATCCCCCTTCTTCCGTGCGCAAGTCGCTCCCTTTCAATTCCGTTTGTTGACCCGTCATCTAGAGAGAGCCTTACGCGCTTCCATTCTCGCTCCGCACCCGGCATTTCTGTCCTCGAGTACCTCAGACGCATCGTTCGCTTCACCAACATCGAAGTAAGTGTCGCTACTTTGGTCTTTTCCATTCGATCCAACTCCCTTAGCTCACATCGGACCACTGCAGAAGTCATGCCTCCTCATCACCCTCCACTACATCGATCAAATTTGCTCTCGAGTGCCCCTCTTTACGCTCTCCTCTCTCACCTGCCATCGCTTCATCATCGCGTCTATCACTGTCTCGAGCAAGGGCCTCTGCGATGCATTCTGCACGAATAGTCTCTACGCGAAGGTCGGCGGCATCTCCGTGACGGAGCTGAACGTGCTCGAGCGCGAGTTCTTGGCGAAGATTGACTGGCGACTCATGGTCAGCAGCACGCGCTCGCGCTCACCTGCAGGCTCTCATTGTTCGTCTTCGCAGTGTACACGGGAGGTCTTGCAAGAGTACTACATCAATCTCGTCCGCACGCACACATCGGGTCGGTATTGTCTCGCTGGAGCGCCGTCATCGACGAGCAGCGCCTCGTCGGACAGTGACCAGGAGATGGAGGAACATCCGTCGCGGCCTAGCACACCACCGGAGACCGCACGGACGATTCTGATTGATTCTGGGACCGCGAATGGGAGCGAGCCTAGCCGACGGCCAACGATCGAGCAAAATATGGCGTTCGCAGCTCTACGACAACGAAGTGAAGACGCGGATAGCGTCTGACTGGATATTATCAGCTGTGTCTTGCCTTTAAATACGGTTTGTTATACTAGTATATACATAGATAAAGGATTGACATGCCAAAGTACAATGCGAGAGTGAAAAAAAAAGTAAAGGAAGGAATGTAGAGCAGATGAGCGCATGCCGAAAGCAAGGGTGAATTCGATTGCAGGACTGCCCACTGCAAGATCAGACTACGGTGACGATAGCACAACAAATACACGACGTCCTACAACACGTATGTCCGTCACCGCCGCAGGGCAGACAACATCTTCGCGAGTGTGTTGATCTGGCCCTTCTGCACCTTCTTCGGGCCATCGAAACCGTCCTCCTCAATGCTCAGGTCGGACGAGCTCATCGCTTCAGGCGACTTCTGTCCAGGAGCGGGCAGCTTCTCGGCGATCGTACCCAGTCGGGGATCCTTGGGTTTCCGAGCTCGCTGTCTTCCAGGGGGAGATCCAGAAATGTCCTGTTCGCCAGCGTATTGGCCACGGGGAAGCTGATACAATTCCCACGGAATGCCTGTGATGACTGCCCCGGAATATTAGCAAAAATCACGGCCAAGACAGGGGACCGTCACATACTCTTGACATTCTTGGGAACGTTGGGATTCGAGGCCGCTGGCGCGTTCGGTGACGCGGGCTTGGTGGCACGCCAACTGTTGGCCGAGACGCTCGTTGCCATCGTCGACACGCTCGCATTGCTGTAGCGCGTGAAGGCCGAAGAAGAGGTCCCCGAGCTCGTCGAGCTGCGCCAGTTGGCAGAGACCATCGAGCTCGAGCTCGAGGCCACAGGACGATGGCTCCGCGCCGAGTTGGGGGACGTTGCACGGTCGCTGCGCAGGTCTCCTCCAACAGGGTGAGAGCCTCGAGAATTATGGAAACCAGCGTCGGAGGTCGGGCCAGTCGGATGCCGCACACGGCGACCGCGAGCCCAATCGTCGAATGAATGCTGTTGTTGGCCGTGACTTTGACTGTGGTGCTGCGGCACAGGAGCATCTAGGCCAGTGAGCAGGTTCGTCACGTTACGAGCGGTAGGCGACATCAGCATTGGCGGAGGGGACGTGTCCAAAGGCGGGGAGACTTCCTCGACCGGCGAGATCCGTCCTATCTGGGAACCGCTATTCTTGCCAAAGCTAAGCTTCCACTTGGAGGATTTCTTGGTGATCGGGGATGAGCCAGGTTGGGGAAGAGAAGCAGAAGAAACCGACGCAGCCGACGCAGCTGATGAAGACGAAGGATTGAGCTTCGGCAGAGGCGCAGCAGTCCGGGTATTGGTCAACATGTTCACCGGAAGCGCATACATTGCTACTGGTTCGAACGGTTTCCTTCCAAGAGACGAGGGTTTGCTTCGGCCCGAGGACTGGGTTGTACTGGACCGAATCGACGAAGGCCGGGACGCAGAAGCCGCACGTGACGCTTTGCTGATCTCTCTTGCCAAAGTCTGGGACGCGGTAGCCAAGACATCGAGGGTCTCGTCTTTAGGTAGAACAGAGGCAGGTGTCTGAGAACCTTTCCCTTTCCGCGCACCACGTTTGCGACGTTTGTTGGTCGAAGCTGAACGCGACTCGACCGAGATGTCGGCTAGCACTGGGGCTTCCGGGAGTTGCAGCTCGTGCTCCTGTTCTTCCTCGATCTCCTCGACCTCCTGGTCGATGACAGTCGAGAGTTCGGCAGCCTTGGCTGCTTCGAAGGCTTGTGTGAAAGAGCCGGTACGGGAGAGACTGCGGGAGGGTAGTGCCGGGGTGCGGATACCGGCAGTTCCCGACGCTTGACGCGAGGACGGACGGTGCGAAACAGGTGTCGAGGAAGAGATGCGATGACCCAGGATCAAGGATGCTGTCGAGCTGAGGCGCTGATGACCCCGCATCGGCTGAGGAGCAGCAATGTCCAAAAGAGGGGCCAGAAGATCAGGCAGATCCTTGGCCCAGATACCAAAGTCAGCCGCCGAGATGCGCTCAGAGTCGTCCTTCGGATCATCGAGCACGTTGAATACACGGTTGGCAAGATGCTCGGCGACAGGGCGCGTCATTCCAACAAATCGCTGCATGAAAAAGTTGACAGGCTGTTGCCGGAACAGGTCGAATGAGTGGCATTCGCCTTCCTGAGTGTCCGTCCAGGGATTGTAGTGGTACAGCCTGCGATAGCACATACATCAAGACTTGAAGAAGCAGAGAATTGATAGCACAAACATGTTGATGAGCACGATGCCTAGGGACCATACATCTGCAGCGCGGGGCCGATAGGTTGGCGCAACATTGTTACGGCACTCTGTCAGACGGTTTAACAGCACGGTCAAACGAGCTTGCTTATCGCACTCACCGAAGCTCATGTAGGGTGCACTCCCACAGTCCATGTCAGATGACTCGATATCCGTAGTCGATAGTCCAAAATCCGTCAGTTTCACTACCACACGACGTTCCCGCCGACCATCGATGTCGGTGTATCCGTCGGTGACAATGAAATTTTCCGGCTTAATGTCGCGATGGAAAACTTGCTGCGCGTGGCATGCTGCGACGGCATCGCACATTTGTGAAAACATGGAGGAGATAAGCCGAAGACGCGTGCGGGACAACAATTGGGAAGAATTCATCGTCGACAATAGACTGGGTGTAGGGGGTGTATGCGAGCCCAGGGACGTGTCGCTGTCCGGCGTTGACGATCCCGACTCGTAGTGATCACGAGCCTGCTCCAAAAAGTAGAATAGGTCTTCCCCTGGGACATACTCGAGAAGGAGAAGCAAGAAAGAAGACGTTTCAAGGGTCCGATAATGGGTAACAATATTCGGATGCGAGTGCAGCGACTGATGGATCCAAACCTTGTACGGTACTGTCAGCAAGAGACGGTGTAGTCAAGGACCCATACCTCATCCATCTGAGCCCGCAGCGCCTCACTATCGAGGTTGGCCTTTGACAGACATTTGATAGCATACTCGCGTCCGTACTTCGTCGAAGGACCGAAATCGGTTTGCGAACCATCAATCTCCATATCCATGTGACCCATCATCGAGGAGTGACCGTCCTCAGATGGGGCCCCCCGCTCAAGGACCTCAAGAACCTGATAAACCACAGCATAGCTGCCGGCACCGAGACGTCGAACAACCTCGAATTCGCGAGCGGGTTGGGTCGTGTGTTGCACACCGGGATCTGGCGCAGCAACAAGATGAATAACTTCGCCCTGTAGTTCCACACCCTCGCCCACGATGTCACCGGGTTGCAAGACGTCTTCGAGCACTGAGGAAAACGACGAGTGGTGCGAGCTGGAGTCGATAGGCGAGAGTGGGGCAGGACGAGGCGAGAAGGAGACCGGGCTGGCTGTTTGACGCGCAGATATGTATGGACTGCGAAGCCGGGCAGATTGGGCAGAGGGAGAAGAAGAAGCCACGCGGGCCGCAGCTAGATTAGTGGAAATGGAAAGTGGGACGGCGGGAGATGGTGAAGCGGCGAAGATAGCACGAGCAAGCGCCTCCTTCTGAGGACGCTTAGCGGCTAGAGAGGGGGACGGAAGTCGAGAAGATATGTCATTAGAGCGAGAATAGTCAGACGGGGAGTAGTCGTCTTGGTGGTTGTTGGCGGAGAGGGGGCGGGGAACGGAGATGGGATTCTGCAACATGGGCCTGCGCTGTACCGTGTGTTCTGAGCAAGATGAAGTCGAGGGCGCTGGGACGCAAGGTCGCCGACGAGTCTCACTTCTGTCTAATCAGACGAGACCTGCTTCAAGTCTGAGCTCGTCGCAGGCGCGGAACATACAGCAGGGTGGGACGTGAAGGCAGTCCCGACACCGTGCCTGAGGCTCTAGCGAGAGCTGCGGGAGCTGAGATGGCAGTTAGAGGGAAGTGTGATGTGGAATCGAACAAACAGACGACAAACCAGAGACTAAAGGTCAAGGGCAAGGCAACCAGGAGACCCAGACGCAGGAGGAGGATGAGAGAACAAGGAAACAACGAAGAGTAGTGGCGATACAGTCAGCATGCGGTTGGCCGAAGGGGTTGGCAAGTTGCCGCTGGTGAGCACATGGGTCCCTTGATGCTGGCTGAAGATAGATACATTTTTTTAATTACTGCATCTTGGCGTATGTACTCGCTAAACTAGGTGACTCTGGGTGCTGCTTGAGCAGTCTGAGCACACTGGCGCTCATGTACATTTTCTGCGGGGCGTCAGTTTGTGGGGGAAGAAGCGATAAGCCAATCTTACTAGTGAATCATCAATCAGACGGGCCCAAACGGTGTCTGCGAAGTGCCCATACTGGTCCAGCAATTTTTCTGTGGGAGCTTCTGAGCGCTTTGGGAAGGATGATTGCCCACACAACTCCAGCAAAGACTCGTTCGTCTTCTGCAGCTGGTCGACGAGATCCTCACCCTCCAGCGTATCAAGGATTTGCAAAAACCGGTCGCCAAGCAAGCGGAGCGTCGTTGGATCGCATGGTCTTTTGGTCCGCAGCAGCTCGTACACCTGCTCCAACAATCGGCCGGCAATCGGGCTGCTGGCATCGTTCGTCTCACGCGTCGCTTCGATCAACATCTCAAACATCTCCGTCGTGGTCACAGCTGGGCATCATCTGTTAGACAGACGCATTGGTTTAGGCTGAACACACCTTCTACGGCACTGTCAATGACACCGCGCACGATCTCCCCGTTCAGGATAGCCGCGCGCGCCTGTCTAGAAGAATCATGGGCCAATTCTGCACCGACTGCTTCTGCCGCATGCTCCGTTTCGGGACCCACGTGCTCCCTCTCTTCCATTGGCATCTCCGCAGCAGTCCCCTGTCCCCCGTCCTCTAGACCAAGCACGTTCCATCGCCGCCTCAACGCCTCGACAAAACGCATCTCCATGCGCACCCATCCGATCCATACCTCAACCCCGTCTTTTCCGCGGCACACTCGCGTGCCTCGTTGCAGCATACTGCGTGCTGCACTGGGTGATCCTCTTTCCATCTCTAATTCTGCCGCGAGCACATATAGTGAGCCGACTGTCGGATGTAGTTGAATTGCTCGCGCCGTGACACGCGAGGCAAGGGTATGAGCGCCTTCTCGCTGCGCAAGCTGAATGTATTGCACCCAAAGGCCAATGTCAGATTTGAATCGCTTCAGCGCGCGCTCGAAGACATGAAACTGACGCCGGACCAGCGCGTAGTCGGAGATACTCGATTTTGGTTGCACTTCTTCAAAGTCTCATTAGGATTGTGGAGTGTAAATAGTCTAAGACGCACTGAGCCTTTGCAACCTCCGCCTCCTCAACGCCTCTAGTCCCATCTCATACTCCAAGTACCGCAGAAAATCCGACTTCTTGGCCACGCGACGGACCAAAGCACTCTCGAATTGTGTCCGTTTTTTCAGAATCGACCTCGTCTCTTCTTTTGTAAAAAGACCTTTCTCCACCAAGTCTTTCAACTCGGGGATCATCTGCTCTTGCTGAAAATGAACACGCTCCATTTTGAACGAAGGATGGAGAACGTCGGCGCAGTGAAGAGAGGGAGAGGAGGGATGGGTTTGATCCGGGCTTGATCAAGTCTGATGCGCTTCCATGAGTGAAAAAGTCCTTTCAATACTGTTACGAGTAATATACACGCGCAAATGACTACATGCGCCTATTTAGAGGCTACCAATTCTAATCTCGCTTTTACCGTTCGAGCAAAAGCGTCTGCAACTGGCACACGCTGAGAACAGATTGCCAGATGATTGGCGACATAGGGTGGTGGCAACAAGGGATGGATCTTCTCCAAAGGCATTTTTGGATCCGACGAAGGGAACATGACTACATGGGGAGGAGGCCGTGAATGCGTTGGGAGATGGGTGAGCGAGAAAGTGGCAGACGGCTGATGAAAATGTCCGAACGGGAGCGATGAGAGCGAAGCCGAGGACAGCGTCGAAAAGGTTCGATTACGCGACGGGTTGTCCTGTGCCCGGTGTCCTACACCGTGCGAATTCACGGTCATCGCCGAACGTGTGGAGGAGATTGAGGAACGACGTCCCTTCTCTAGATGAGGCGACGCTGGTGGCGAGAAGGAAGGAGGCATCCCCTCGCTCACTGTGGGGGAAGCGGTTACATGGATGTCGTTGACATCCAGTGTCACAGCGATAGGCTGCAATGGCGACGGTTTGGCGGCATTTCCAGGTTGACCAAATGACTGCCCACGGATAAGAGGATGCGGCCGCAATTCGGTTTTGTACATAGAGTGCGTTGAAAGTGGTCTGGAGTGCGGCTTAGAAACTGATGGTTGCGAATATCGCCGTGATGAAGGAGACGGAGGCGCTGTCGTGGGCGTTCTTGCACTGTCCGGAGTAGGGGGAGAGCTCAACGCCTTATCTTCGACCGCGGCAGTCGTTGCTGGCTTGGCAAGAGTCGGTCCTGCAGCGTCGAAATCCCCAGCACGTGCCGTGGCCACTCGCGGCAACTCCTGAGGTTTGCCCATCTTTGGGGTAGGTACTTGGTGTGACGTCTGCCCTCTCCATCGTGTATGGACTTCTTCTTCACTTTCACTGTCTTCATCGTCGTACCTGTTTGGTGTTGCAGCCCCGCTTTCACTGGAGACCCAATCTTCTCCAGAGGCATCATCATCGACACTGGGGCTGGAGATGCGGAAATTGGAACCCCGAGTCTTGTTCTTTAATTGAGAAGTCTGTTGAGCATGACCATTCGTTTGCGGCTGGTGAACTTGTTTCGGAGGCGCACGGGGCTGTAAGATCTCTGAGAATCGGAGTGATTGTAGTCGAAAATCCACTTACTTGGACCTTCTTCTGGGTCGTGAACTGAAGATTGCCTGCCGCAAGCTTTGTAGACGACCCTGTCCTAGAGTGTGCGCGTGAAAGAGGTGCACGGTGCTTTGGTGCCATCGTTCAATGAAGATGCACTGGTTGAAGTGAACAAGACGGATGTGGTCCGAGTGTTTATTGTGATGTCACAGGCAGTGATGTATTGATGCCTGATGGTCAGAGCCAATATTCCACTGAAGCTCAGCAGAGCCTGGCGCAATGGAACCAAGGCTTTCGAGCCTGAGGAGTAAGATAATGAGCCATAAACGCTTCATTTCTGAGTTTTATACAAGCCATGGCGCAGATTACTGCATGCATTTCCTGAGTCTAAGCACGTGAGCTTGGTCTCAGATGCCAAAACAGCACATGTCGGCAACTTGCGGCCAGCGTGTGACACGGACGTGTTCTAGTAACAGCCTGCTCACCTTCCACCTCATCTCTCTCCCTGATACCCTTACTGAAACGAAACAATGTGGCTGTCAGACGGACAGAGTAGGTTTCATTGTAGTGATATTGCTGGTGCATACCGACTGATGTCCCGTAGAAATCGGCGTGGCATTGACCACCTTCGGCGGGCTCTTCATGCTCTTGGGCGTCATGATGTTTTTCGACGGAGCTCTTCTGGCGCTTGGAAATGTACCTTGGCATCCACTCTATGGCTTCCTGGTCTCAAACAAATACATTTCCAGATTCTCTTCGTCTCTGGAATCACGCTCATCATTGGCCCTAAGAAGACGTTTTACTTCTTCGCTCGTAAGCAAAAGATTAGGGGAACGGTCTGCTTTGTGGGTGGGATTGTGCTCGTGTTTTTGAAATGGCCTTTTGTTGGGATGATCATCGAAACATTTGGGTTTTTGAATCTGTTTGGGTGCGCTCAAAATCATTCTAACTGCTAACGCTTTCTCACAACGTCCCAGGGACTTCTTCCCTGTTATTGTAACATTCCTTCGCCAGGTCCCCTTCCTCGGGACAGCTCTTTCGTTACCATATATCAGGAACGTGAGTGCCAGTATCGGTTGCCTGGTTATATCTCTTGCTCATCATGTCAGGCTGTGGATCGTCTCGCTGGTTCACGAACATCTGTTGTGTAAAAGTAATATAAGTTATCCTCTACATAGGAGATCGCACAAACTCCAAGCCAACTGGTGGTCGTGTGACTTGACGCACTCTTCGCGTTATATGTTTCTGTTTGGCCGCGTAAATTCTCAACAGTCAGACCTGTTCCACCTCCACTCCACATCAAGAGAATGAAGCAAGAGTATCTCGCTCTATTGTCGGTTCGCTAGGTCCATCTTAAGCTATACAGCCTGGACCGATGCTATGTAGCGTCGATATGTGCCCACCAAAGTCCAATTTCCGGGCGCAGGGCGTCGGCAATGGTGTTTGCGCGTCCTCAATGAGTTTTGGACCGGGTTCATGGCAGGGGCTTCTCATAGCATCGAAGGCGCGCTGAACGTCAGTCTCGAAATCGATCGTTTGCCAGTCTGTATGACATCAGTCTCATTTGTGCACAACACTGGCAGGAGGATGATTTGCTTGAAGAGGACGATCCATTCGATGCTACGCTCACAGACGGCCCGCAAATCGGTGTGCTTTTGCGCACTGACTGGTCGGATCCAGACGCCTGGCAAGCATTTTGCGCACGGTTGGCTTCAGAGGAGAAAGATTTCCTCGAATCGGTACAACCCGCGGACGTGAAGATGAATGAGGACACTCCTGAAGCTGAAGCCGACTCCTCCGATGAAGAGGAGGATTCTCGTCTCAAATCACCGATCATCAAAATCCTCGACGCCGTCTCTGAACCAGAGCGCGCTCTTGTGCGCGATATTTCGAACATTCGAGCACTGCGTCTTCTCAACGATGTGGACATCCGAGACGCGCCCAGTTTACCTGCCGGGACGTCGCGCTACAATCCACCGAATAGACTGGTCGACCTCAATGGGCTGCAGGAGATCTACAGTGGACTGACTGTTTGGATATACGACAAGCAGTCCAACACTGACCAGTGTGCGCGACTGGTGAGCCAAGAGGGAGATGTGTACGGAACCGCAACGTGCGTCTTTGGTCTCTCTATCACTTGGACGTGCAACCCATCCCAGTGCGAGCAGTGGCGACAGCTGGCGTGCTCGAGTGTCTCATCTATGCGAGCTTCAGTTCAACATGACATGCTTGGGCATGAAGATCGACTTTGGCGGCCTGGATCGATATGACTACTCTGAACGCAAGCGCAATATCGAGGAAGCGGAAGCACCGCAGTAGCCTCAGGCTCAACGCGCAAAAAGGCGCTCTAACTATCACCCTCACTGGCACTTGGATGCGTGCTGAACAATTTGGCATCGAAGTACGTAGTGAACGACTGCTGTACTATGTACTAGCACTCCAACTGCGAAGAAGGAAGGCTGATGGAGCTCCGTTCCAGCACCGGGGTGAACAGCGGTGTCCCATTGTGGATTATCACTCAGCAGACGCAATTGGAGTAAATGTTTTTTGTGTATTGTGGCAGGTACGAATGAAAGGCAACATAAATCAACTCCCTAATGCACATGCACCGATACCTTTTATGACGAGACGGTCCAGACACGGATGTGGTTGTCCGTGAAGCCAGCAAACAGGGTCTGGCCATCTGCGGACCAGGCAATCGACACACACTCGGGTTCCCGGCCCTCCTCAGAGGCCTCAGTGAAGGTGGGCTTGAGCTCGTCAACAATAGACCTATAGAGCGTGTCAATCATACATCCCGGAACGGACACTTGATCATAACGCACTTGCTCTCAAGATCGAAGATCTTCACGCAGCTGGCGGTAGCAGCGCATAGCCAGTACCGGTTAGGCGAGAAGACAAGGGCGTTGACGATGTCACCAGCCTCGAGGGAGTAGAGGTGCTTGCCCTCGTTAAGGTCCCAGAGCATGGTGATTCCGTCCTTGCCACCGGAGGCAGCAAGCGAACCATCGGGCGAGACAGAGATTGTGTTGATGTATCCGGTGTGGCCGTAGTGGTTGGTCTTCAGCTTGAACTTCGAGAGCTCCCAAACCTGAGAATATTTCAGCATGGGTTGCAATGCCAGGGGAGACGCAAGTAGAAAGTCAGAGATCTTGGTGGAAAAGTAGTCTCATAGGGCCTCTGCCCTCTGAAGTAGCAAATATATATGGTATAGCATCACTCCAGAGTTTGGAAGAGAAACTAACCTTGACAACCTTGTCCCAACCGCAGGACACGATCACCGGGTTCATGACGTTCGGGCTGAAGCGCACGCAAGAAACCCTAGAACGGATGATGAATAACAGTCAAAATTTGCCATGTAGCACACGTACCACTCAGAGTGACCATCCTCCTTGATGTCATACTTGCACTCGCCGAGCGTGTTCCACAGCTTGATGGTTCGGTCACGGGAACCAGAAACGATTTGACGGTTGTCGGCGCTGAAGCTGACAGAGAGAACGTCGGAGGTGTGGCCGACGAAACGACGTGTCGTGGCACCGGTGTTGAGATCCCAGAGACGGGGGTGTGGTCCCAGGACGAGGAGAGAGCGAATTGGCCGTCGGAGGAGATAACGACGTCGGACACGAAATGGTTGTGGCCGTGCAGGATTCTTTTGGGGGAGCCGTAGCCGGTCTCATCGCGGGTCAGCTGCCAGACGATGATGGTCTTGTCTGTGCGCCGTGGTGAGAAGTGCTTGAGGAGGGCCAAAAACGCAGAAATTTACCACGAGACGCGGAGAGAATAACATCGGGGGTCTCGGAGGAAGTGGCGATGGCGGTGACCCAACCCTTGTGGCCCTTCAAGGAACCAAGGAAACGCAGAGATTCGGACATCGTCGTGAGCTGTGAGGCGAACTTTTCGATCGACGCGTTGAGCCTTCCAAGCAGAGCTTACAAAGCCGCTTACAAAAACTGCCCAGTTCGCACCATGGATCAGTGATTGACGCATGCCGAACATCTCATCTTGTCTAATCTTATCGGTTATTTATCGTGACCACTATTCAACAAATTATGGACCTCATATAAGATGGATATGATCTGCGATCGTATGCCAGTCAGAGGAAATCAAAACAGGAGGCTGAGATTTCGAGAGGACGCTACGGGTTGCACGAAGTCGTTGAATGTACGATTGGTCTTGCACGACCCACTGCTAAGTAATGCCGATGTACGTGTCATGTAGATTGCGTTAAATCGGGCTTATCGGGTGATCAGGGAACGTATGATTAGATTATGTGATGATTTCATCTTATCTCCATGCCACACCGATTTGCACTCTACCTCGACTAAGGCCGAATCCATGTTGTCAGAAATCCAGTCATAAGTGAGTGCTTCAGCTCTCTCGTGCGTAAAAGGGTTTAAACGGAGTAGTCTCAACCGACCCGGGAGTGACGACATCGTAGCTATGTATGCATCGATACCAGTCTCTGGAAATCTTGTGAACACGCTCGACAACTGTCACAGACTGCTGGCAATTGCTTCCCCGGAGCTGGAATCCTTGGTTTATTAAAAGTTTCGGTACTGTCATCCGCTTGTAACTATACGACACACTCAACATCCGGCCAGGTAACACTGACATCGAGAGCTCACAGTACGGTGAGATCCCTCTGAATCTGCGACATTCATCCAGATTGATTATAGTCTCAAATTTTGAAAGCTTATCAGGCCATTTCTCGCATATCGAACGATGCCTGCGGACGCTGCGCGGTTTCCCAACTTCTCCGCCGCTCGAAGCCTTCCTAGCGCGGGGGAGCGCGGTCCATTGG